TTTCTTGTAAGGAAATCCGGTTTAAATTAATTATGGATATTATAAACAAGCAAACAACAATTATTGGAAAATGCATTAACCTTTTATTTGAATCAAGTGCCATTTTCAATGTAAACATTACTCAATAATTACACAATGTTTGGATCAATTCACAGAACCCTGGATTTTCAACCACATTGTAGGGTCGCATGTCTTTACAGATAAACTTGGCAATTGTTACTGTGATGTTGAGTTTGGTGCTGGCGAGGCCTGAGGTGTCTGCAGAGCTGGAGTTACCTTCTGCTGCTGCAGCGGTGACGCTGCTAGAGGTCCTGACTGTCGGCGTTGTTTAATCCCACGGCGCCTTAGTAGATGGCCGGAAAGATTCGTCGTGTTTCCGTGTATTTTATTTGTCTTCTACATATTCTACAAACAGCGACCGGCTTATTTAGAACACCTCCGTGTTTGCAAAAGCCAAAATGTTTCCACACGCTGGATCGATAAGTTGGTTTGTAAATGTCTCGCTCGCAGTCGTCTCCTCCACGCTGTGTTTTGTTGTTGTTCAGAGTTTCGCGCGGCTGCCGCTGCGTACTGATGACGTCACAGACAGGAAGACTGAATCGAGTAACGTTTAACGTGTCTAAAGTGCTCAAAAACAAACAAACAAACACGCATCCACACCATTTTTGTACTTAAATCCAATGTGCAGTTTCCAAGTATCGATACAATCGATTATGTACCATTTCAATCGATTTGTAATCGATATATGTCGCCTGGAATGCTGATTTGTGGAGCACAGATCGATTCAGTTGGATCGCAGGAATATAAATCGATTAATCGATTCAGTGGATGAATCGTTACACCCCTAGCACTCACTGTCATGGTCACTCTTTCTGTTTCTGTGGATGTCTATGACAGAAATGTGATACGGGTCAGTGGCGTAATCATATCTGGCTTCCATATGTTTCCTGTGTAATGCAAGAAGCATAAAGCGCATAATTAAACATCAGGCCTCCAGCTAGCTTAACAGCAAGCTGGTATTTTTGTGTGATGAAAAATGTGGTTTCTTTAAAATTGAAAGGATCACTCTTGAAATGTCTCGAGCAGCTATTGTTCTTCTTTCACCTGACGTTGTGTAAAGTTTTTACTCTCTACGTAACAACGCGATTGAGGATGAAAGGGGGGCAACTGACTTGTAGCCCGTAGAGCCAAACCAACATCTGACAAGAGCCGTGACTGACTTGGTTGGGGGGGGGAGGGTACAAAAAACAACAATGGCCGACTGTCCCCGTCCTGATGAGGTCATGGTATCATTTGCAGGGAAGAAATCAAATCAAACCAAATTGGTGTTTTAAAGATACTCACTGTATTCTCCATTTTAGTAAATCTTAATTTCAAACAATCATTACATATTCATCTTTGTAAATATTTACTGTCCAACCCGATGAGAGCGGTGTTGTTTTGAGGTGGACCCGTCAGCTGATAGTTCAACAGCCGTTGTGACTGAAACCAGAAAGCATTTCCCGCAGCAAAATACTTTGCTGCGGGAAATGCTTTCCACTTTGATTTGTTTATTTTTTTTGAAAATGGCCTCATATACAATATCAAACCCCAAAAGTTGTGTTTTTGTTCTGAGGTACAGCCAGAGGACACAGCTCAGCCTCTCAAGACAAAACGCTCTCCAAAGATTTCAAACATTTGTTTTCCTCTCCATCCTTTCTAGCTAGTGGCCCTTAAGTTAATAGTCAGTAGGGATACACTGATACCGGCATGGGGCCTCGACGGACTCCAAAAGCGAATCATTCAATCAATAGTTTTGACTGCATGAAAATGGTTTACGCTTCAATTGTAACTACTTGATTTTTTTTTAAAGTAATGAATCTTCATGCTGAGCCTGACTTACATTCGAAAGCATGATCCTATAGTCCACTCCACCAAATACCGGCCTACAGTACACGGCATCTCGCTGATGTCTGCTGATCTTCTCTAAACCTGAAGACAGAATACACTCCTGCAGTGTCCATCTGCCGTCCAAAACAAAGCTATTGAAGAGATAACAGGATTATCTGCTGATGATCGTACGAGAAGACAAAAAAAAAACAACGCTAAAGAGTGCATTTTTAATGCATATTTTAAAAAAACAAAGTCGGAATGTGAAGGTCCTCTCTCATTCGCTCCGTGTTAATATTCCGCCTGTGGACGGAGCAATCAGTTCTGGAGCAGGAATCCGGTAAGGAATGCTTTCACTGATCGTCCCACAGAAATGCCCCAATTGAGCGCGATGTTCGCCAGTCTTTGGACATGGAAGACATTGTGATTGCCTTGGGACAAAACGAGGCTGGCAAACAGCAGTTTTAGATAATTTGCACATGTTTGTGAGAACTGAAAAATGTTAATGTGAGTGTATATGTATGTGTGTGTGTGTGTGTGTGTGTTTTTAAGTATGTTGGATTTAGTTATTGTGCACTTTTTTAATGTATATTTGATTTTATGGTAGTGTGCAAATGTTAAATTGTTAAATGTTCAAATTTCATGCACATTATGTATATGCACTGTAAACCCTTTTTTATTTATATAAAGTGTGGGTGAACTTAAACTTTATGGCGGTGCTGTGGTTCCTGTAGGTTTTGTGTGCGCGCGGCGGGGGCTTGGGGGGGCCTCCATGTCCATTTTGCTGTGTGTGACAGGCCGCTACCTCAGATGCCTTTGCTAACACTAACACTTTGGCCATTACCTCACGACCTTCTGCTTCTGCACCAGCGGCCGGGACAGGGAGCGCTCACCCCGCCTACTCCCTCCTGCTGCGTTTCCTGATGCCAACGTCGGACAGACAAATGGGGAAATGACCCAATTACGGCTCTAGGGAGGGAGCAGGGGAGGTGATGATGGGAGAGAGGAGAGGAGAGAGGGAGCTGAGGGTTGGCGTTTACAGGAGCTGCAGGAGCTGCAGTGACATCATCACTGGTGGACTCGTGGCCATAAAACAAAAGTGCAGACGAGGCGAGAACAGGGACGCGGCTGCCTGCCTCCGAAGATGCCCGGCTACTGCTGCGGTGTCTCTTGTTAGCCGACCGCCCCCCCTTCCGTGACGCCACCGAATCATGAGTAACCGACTCAAGACGCGAAACAACGCAGCAGCGTGCAGAGGGTTGCATAATGAAGAAAAGAAAATACAGCAAAACAAATGTCTGCAACTGTACTCCCCCCCTCCCCCCCTCCCATCCCTCCCACATTCATCTTGGTCTCCATAACAAACACTGTGGGGAAACGTCCCAGTAGGCTCCGGTTGAGAAACTCTTCCCATTGCTCTGCATCGTGAAATTCCTGAGAACATAACACAGTGAGCAAAAAGGCGAGCCGATAGAACTACTCACGAGTGTTTCTCAATCTGTGCTGGGATCAGTGAAACGGCAGGTATCCTCTTTTCTCATGAGTCACAGGATTTCCTTACACACTCCTCCTCCTCCTCCCGGCTCCGCTTGTCTTCCTGTCTTTTAGAGGCAGACTAAAGAAACGAGTGGCTGAAGAGAGAGAGAGAGACCTGCAGTTTATGGAACCACGTCAGTATGTTGATGCCTCCCTCCCTCCCTCCCTCTCGCTCTCCAAGGTCAGTGGGTAGAAATGGCCATACGACTCCTCCCTTAGTGGACAAGTGCTCCCTCTCCTGCACCCTCCTACAGGCTGGACACCCGGGCAGTAATTACCGTCATGATCCAGATTAACTCCTGGGTGTGCTCTTGTTGTGCTCTGCTGGATCGGGCTGGACTCAGCTAGCAGAGCTCGGACGGGACAACACACAGACAGTAATCCTCTCAGTGTGTGTGTGTGGGAGCGGGTATTAGACCCCACGGGGAGGGCCAGAGGCAGCCAGACAGGACGGGATGGGAACACTCTTAAGCCCCGCAGACGGAGACAAACTAGGGGAAAGACACTGAGCTAACAGCAGGAATGCATCCTCGGGCCGAAATGTACAGACGTGTCAAATCAGGTTGTGTGATGCACAGCGTGATGAATAACCCACATGTATAGCGGTGGAATGTATATGCAGGGACAATGGAGGGGTGGACATTAAAGAGGATCACATTTAATTAACACTGATCGTCCACAGGCCTTTTAACGCGGAAAAGCTACGTAAAATTGCGTCTGTAGTCACGGTGCAGACCGGAGACCCTCAGCAGCAACTGGTCACCGAAATAGTCATCAATTTTTGCAGATTTTTAAACGGATAAACATATTGAGTTTTTGACTTTAGTTATATACATGAATGCGATCAGGCTGTGACAAGATGCGCCCGTCTAATACTTGCTGAGTCGTGGGCGGTCCGACCCCTGCAGAGGGAGTCGGAGAGCTTTGCTGACCGTCTATCTGCTTCTCCCAGTGGCTTTGGATCCTGTGATGGGATTAGAGGGGAGAAGCGTCTGATGAGATGGGATAGAACTATATGCCCAGGATGTAGAGTACAGACCCACAGCAGGACTCGCAGATCATCACATTGATTGACAACTATGTGCCAGTTAGTTTAAGGAAAGATCGGCATTGTTTTCGAGTAATTTTGTATAGTTTCCCGCCGTACACATGCTGGTTGCCATTTATATAAATGGATTATTGCGATCTACTGTTTGTACTGTAATATAAAGAGCAAACCTTAACTTTTACATATCAGAATCACCGTTCATCCTCCACAAACGCTCTTTCCAAACAGGACATTTTCTGAATTTCTCCAATAATACAGATGATATTAAAATCAATAATAAAGTACATGTAAAAAGCTCTTTTTAGACTCACAGAAATATCCTCAGGAAAAAGTTACATCATCTGCGGCCATGGGGGCAGTCTGTTTGGTGTGAATGGAGTGGGTTTTGTTTTGTTATAACGTACTGACACCCTCTGGTTATGCGAAGTAAGTGCAACAGCTGCAGGAGACGTAATGATGACATACACGTGCGTGAGAACTCAAAAAGACAAATTGTGTTAACACATCGAATGGATTTGTGGTTATGAGCTTAAAATTTGAAGGCGCATTGAGTGACAGTTTCTTTTGTATTTCAAGAATTTTGGAACAGCGTGCTCAAAAGCAAAGAAAGAAATACAATAATTAATCATGCGACATCAACTTAAACATAAAGTTGGGCCAGCTAACTGGTCCTTTTTTTACAAAATATAAGAAGTAGAAACAGATGAAAGATTATCACGGGAATGAAAGATGAACAAAAAGGTGGGTGGGTTGTTGTTACAGTACAGAACCAGCAGATGGAGGCACACATTGTGAAACACAAAACATGACATGATCACCAGAGTCTCCCTGCATCAATGGACCGTCTGAGTCTTTTAGGCTGCATCGTAACCTTTGGTACTATGAAACGGAACACATGTAGAGATATATTCCGTAAACCTCTTCCAAAAGGTCCGAAAGGCACAACACAGTGAAAAACAAAAATGCTTCTGTAACATGTAGAAAGGTTTATAATCTGCTGAAAACATATTCTCAAGGCATGCTTTGCAATCATTCATCTTCTCGTTTATTTATTTAAATAAAATATCACTTCAGTCCCCACGAAAAAAAACACACCATGTTGGGGGCATGTGTAAAAAACAAACAAAAAAAGGGACCTAGAATGTTTTCCAACCAGTTCGATGACTAAGATAGATTCAAGAGGAACAAAATGGCATGAGGCAAAGTCAAATCCAAAGACATTTTTTTAAAGAAAAACACACCATGACTGGTTGAAGTAAACCATGAATGACAACAAATACAGTACCCTTCCCTTCCTGTGCCCACAAAAAGGCAAAGAGGATGTGGAATACTGCATGAAACAGAGACGGTAGCTCAGTACAAAGTAAATACAGGTTCATGTTAAAAGCAAAACAGAATACTGGTCTTTCCCTCCATCACGTGGCCTTGAAATCATCACATGTGATTTCAAGGCCATCTTTGTCATGTTTCTCTAGGCGTCTGTTAGCTAATAAAATACAACACAGCACATGAATTCAAGTGAAGTCGTCCAGAATAAAAGTACGGAAAGACTAGGTAGTGTTAATAAGCGTTATTGGTTGTTTGGTTGGTTATTATATGAGAGTCTCTGGGGCTGCCACTTTGTGCCTGCTGTCTGAACCGGCTGGCTGTGAACTTTGACCTCACTGTAGGCTTGTACAGTAGACTGGGTCGGGTGGACTCCGTCACAGTGTCAAGGCATAGCATGGCTCATCATGGCAGGAAACATGAAGTAGCACCTGATGGGGATGAAGAGGTTGAGGCCTGCATCAGGAAACACCAAAAGGTACCTGTAGGGTAGTTTAAGTAATGTTTAAAAAAAGGAAACATCCCTAAATCACAGGAAAGGGGGTGTTCCTGTTTAGTGAAGGCAGCATGAGAATGAAAGTGTGACACAGAATACTGAGTCTGAATAAATGCAGCAAAAATCGCAAACTTGGTCTTGGACCACGGCACTCCATGACGAGGCATGACAGCTCCGTGACCCACAACGGGGTCCGGGGCGACGCGTGTCCGGCATGTACTGTCCTTATGGTTCCTCACTCACATGACACCGTCTCTGATCTGACGCACGGCAGTTGATATGCTCTGCATGGTCTGTACTAACAGCCTCTTTCTCCTCTTTCCTTGCCACCTCTTCAGCGTAGCAGCAACTATCTCTGCTGTACACGCTTGGAGACTTCCACGGGAAGTAAGTTTCAGGATTAGGCAAAAAACAGGCGGGCAGGGGAGGGGAGGATGGTGGGGGTCAGTGGCGTGACTGGTCAGAGCCTCGGACGCCGCGGGGCTTCAGCTGTGGTAGCTGGGCACAGCGGCCTGTTTCTGGGAGAGTCGCAGCAGCTCCTCCCTGATGGCCTTTATCAGGGAGGCGGAGGAGTGGTTGGGAGGAGATGTATCCAGGGGAGGTGGGGCAGACAGATATCCCACCACCGGGGAGTCGAGGTGGACGGGGGGCGCGGAAGGCTCCCTGATACCACCTCTGGGCGCCTGGAAGACAGAGGAGGAGGTGTAGTCAGGACACTCCAGGAACTGAAGGCACAGAGACGGGGAGGAAAACACATGAGAAGAAAATGGGGGAAACATTTCTCAAGTGAATAAACTAGAGATTGTGAGAAGAGAAATGCAGCAAGGGAATTATAAGCATAAGCATATAGATAAAAAACAGGTACATGCTTAGAGGATGAGGCTGGTATTAGTGCTCAACATGTTTATTTTTAAGATACGGTCACAAATACCTACTTTCCTTTTTATAAAAAGCTTGGCATTTTTCTAAAACTGATGGGCCTTGGTGAAATGACATTTTCAGTCGTGGACTGACAGGCATTTGATTTGAATGTTATGTACTATTTACTCAGCGCCCATTTTAATAGTGATTAAAGTAAATGTCAGCCAGTGCAACAGGGGGGGGGGAGGGGGGGGTGGTAACAGATGTGCTTCGGAGCCAACATGGAGCTATAAGGCACCGTGGAATAAGTGACTGTATATCAGGCGACATTTGTTCTTAGGACCGGTTGAGTCTTCATTTCATGGGATTTTGACGGATTTGAAGCATACATTTTTACCCAAAAATGTCAGCTAGACAAGACCTTGGTGCTAACGGGATTACATGTGTGATTCACTCACTGCATCTTTCTCCGGCTCCGTCCTGGAGAAGTTGTCCCCGTGGTAGTGGTTCCAGCCGAGGCCTCCGTTCTGCCCAGGGGTCGCCCTCACCCCCGCTGGGTAACCATTCAAACGGCTGGACAACCCCACCTGTGTAAGATGGTGGAGCTGGGCGCCTACACACAGACACACACACACACACACACACCGGAGCTACGGTAAGTGACACACAATCCTCAGCAGCACCTTCAATATACTTTGATGTAATCACCGCAGTGAGAGAAGCACTATGTGTCTGCTGTAAATGCCAGAATACGTTTCTATCAGCGGAAGTCATATGATGGCAGCCACATCACGCTAGCGCCTTTAATCATTTAGGAGAGAGACGAGGCTCTTTTGGTTTGACAAGGTGATGGTGTGGGACAGCGCTGTGGCTCGCTTTTAGGTTTTACCTAAATGAACTGTGTCCACAGACAAATAAATACATTCATCAACCTTCAAGTGTTGACTAACTTTTTCTTTCTGTATGAAAAAGTACTTTGTACTTAAATGAAGATGTAGGAAGTGGCAATGAAAGAATCAGGCATGTGCCCACCTTGCGCTTTGTTTACATCTATATATGTGTGTGTGTGCCTGTGTGCACCTGTGGTTCCGCCCACTGGTCGCGGCCTGGCAGACGAAGGCAGCTCATCGGCGTAGAGGCCCCTGCTGGAGTACAGGCTATCTGGCTGCGGCTGCTCGCACTGACCTGCAGTTTCTCCTGCCGGCAGGTAGCACGAGCCACGGCTCTGCCTGAAACACAAAGAGACGCAGTTTTCACTCGCACAAAACAATTATGGTGTTGAATCTATTGGAATTCTTCTTCCGTTTCAGGCTCTACACCGTCGTATCGACAGTGCCCTAAAAAAAGATCTGCGGGGAGATTTCACCGCGAAGACCAATCACCTACCAGTTAACTAATGAACCAAAGACTGACTGAACAGACAGTTCATTTTGAGTGTCTGTGAGTGGCTGCTGCTGACCCTGATCTGTACAAAACATACATTCAGAACTGGCCTCATGCTGTTTCCATCCCCTTAACTGGCTGGAAGCTGCTGATGACACGGTGGTCTTTTGGGAGCCAGTTCAGAGACCACTGTTTTGACCGGCTCCATTAAAGCAATAAAATAAACATAACTCCTCCTTTGCTATTCATGAGGTCCGACTCACTGGCTGGACGAAGAAGGAAAACATTCCCTCTGCTAAAGTGGTGGAAATCAGACTGTACTGATCAATAATTAATCACTTTGGTGTGGGAAGAGGTGAACGCCAAAGAGCCATATTATCTATTTATTAGTATCGTATTATTATTAACAAATACACAATTTTCATCAAACACTAACCTTGGTGTCAGGCCTTGGACAGGAGATGGGGACAAGTTAGTGAACCTCTGGGGAAGACAAGGAAAGACACACGGTGCTTAGAATGAAGTGTGCTACTATGGTAACGACTTAAGACTCAAAATAGCCAAAATATTGTATAAGCACAAAAACAAATACAAACCCTAAGCTCATTATTCAGCGGCATTGAAACCAAGCAGCCAGCTGGAGCTAATGCAGATCAGGCACATGCAGGGTATATTCCTGTCGAGTCTTAGGAGTAGTAGTAGTAGTCTTAGGAGGGTGGCTGAACGAGGCTGTGAGGTCGCAGGCTTCAAGGGGGCGACAGATGGAGGAATACTTAACCGATTAGTTTGCTAAGAGGCTGCGATTAAACATGAAGCTATAGGCCTCACGCTGCGAATGAGCCAGAAAAAGGCTTGAGAAAGGGAGGAGATAGTGAATCCAATGGATTTTACATGCTTCTCTTTGCTGTTTTGCTTTTTTGCTCTTACAAGTCTTAACTGGGGAGCTGATCCCTCTTTAGTCCGCGGCCAGATCAGTGACAGAATACATTTCACACTTATATACCATCAAAAGCGTATATGCGAAAGAGGTGTGACATAAGGGGAAAGCAGCGTGATTGGATGTTGCCTGGATGGTTACTTCTCCTTCCCTGTCAAATTAAGGGCTGCGGGCAGCTACTCACCCCGGGGAAAGCACCCGGAGCTTGGTAAGAGGGACCCCAGGCTCTGGGGCCGCGGCCTGGAGGGCTGCACAGGGGCGGGTTGGTGTTGACCCCAGGGAGGGTGATCCCGGCCGTGCTGCCCTGGGAGGTCGGCGACACCAGGGCGAAGGCGTCGTCCAGCAGCGAGTGCATTTGCTGCCGCGCCTCCTCAATGGAAGGCTGCGGAGTCATGTAGGGGGGCGGGGGAGGGGCGTGCCCCGGAGGAGAGGAAGCGGGACCCAGGAAGACGTCGTCGGTGGGGGAGGGGCTTCTGTGAGGGGACCCTGGGCCTTGGTCGGGGTCCGACTGGAACAAACACGACACGTTTACAGACTTGTTGGGAGGACGCGCTGCACATGTCCGCTCTCGTGTGCTACTCACTATGTAGGCCACGTTGTTGACTCCAGGACACTTCCTGTAAACAGCATCGCTGTCGTCAGTGATGAGGTGGTCTTTGTCCGCCTCCATTAGGCCTCCATTCAGCTGCTCCTTCATTCTCTGTTTGGGAGAACGCCTCCCACGACTGCTGAGGAAGGATCATCGATTTATTTGTACTTTTGTTTCTTAAAGGGAGGGAAATTATCAATGTCTTTTTTTTCAACCTAGATCGTTTCGGAGTAAGTCTGCCATCTCAACGATATAACAGGACTCTATAGCACTTGGCTGGTGGTTCTCAAAGGGCAGAATGAAACTCAACAGCACTGTCTCTCTCTCAACCTTTTTGTGAGCAGTTCCATGAAGGATCTATGCATCTATGTACGAGAGGCTTGTGACAACCAGAGATGTGAATATCAACATCGACCTGAACTGAGCTAGATGGGTGCGGCTAGGCGAGCTGTGAGTATGATGGATAAGCTTCCTCCTGCGAGTTTTTCATATGTATTTGTATCACTTTGTCACAGTCGAGTGCTTTGTAGTCCCGTTATATCCAAGAGAAGACGGACATCTCCCAAAATAGCCAACTCAGCCCAACCAACCCTCACACACACATCAACTTGTCCACCAATAAACCAAACCAGTGCAATGACAAACACCTTTTCTTGGATTCCATGAAGAAGGGGGGCATCTGGGAATCGGGGTCCAGGATCTTATCGATCTGTATCTGGGCCTTCTGATAGATGCGATCCTGGTCCTTTGCGTCTCCGAGGCCACTCGTCGTGTCCTCCATAGCAGGGAAGTCGTAGTGGCCCTTCCTCTTGGCCCGCAGACGGATCTTGTTACGATGGTGCTCTATCTCTGACTTGTGCCTCAATGCGACCTGGATCTGAGGAGGTAAATAGCTCATTAGACACCAGCCTTTAAATGTGCACAGATCAGAGCAACTGCAGATTAATTAAGACTTATTAATGCCCATACAGTAATACACCACTTTTGTGACAAATCAAGAACTACAGCAGCCTCAGTACTATAATAATGCCCGTTGAACCCTTGAATAATACCCCACGAGTTCCTCAACTCATAGATATTCTTAAATCGTCCCTCCACATTAGTGGATTGTCTTAGGCTTGCCAAGCAATGGAGCCAGAGGAGCGAACCTCTTTGTTGATTTGGTTGGTGTCGGACAGTTTGCCGCTGATGGGCGGGCTGTGCAGTGGTGGGACAGGCATGGGCTGCATGGCAATCAGCTGGATTTTGTTAGGGAGCCTCCTGCTGGCATCCGTTGCACGGGCCATCCGATCAACATGCTCAAAGATGAAGGCCGAGGACAGCGGCTCATTTTTGCCATTCAGAGGAGGAGGACCTGAGGAAGGAGGCGAAAAAAAAGAACTCAGTCAACTCTATGTAGTCATTGCAAGTTTAAAGTTTGGACTTTAACTAGGGATCAACGCACAAATGCCTACGGCGTTAACACCTCTAAGAAAATTTACTGGACTGTACCTAAAAAGTGGGGCAGATCTTTCTGGTGGTGACAAAAGATTTCTATTGCCAAAAGCTAAACGTCCTTTCAAACAAGTGGAGCTGCTTCTCTCCACACTGTGACTGACAAGCCGAGGACAGAACTACCAGACAACAGACAACACACGGACACAGCTGCTGGAGGTCAAGCTTGAGGTCGATGGAGATGCAGACAGAAAGAGGACAAACGCTTACCGATTCTATTCTTGCCTGGAAACCGGAACAGAGAGGAGAAAATTGTTTTATGGAGATGAAAGGGGGCAAATGAAAGCACCTAAGATAAATGGAATGGTGGAAAGTGAAAAATGACGAGCTTCTCATTAATGAACTGATTAACCGGCTGAATGAGCAGAAAGGAAGCCGGTACATTACAAAATACTCAGTGTCTCATTTACAACCTACTTCTAAACACTGCAGCAGAGCATGTGCAGTCCCGGGGGAAGATTTATCAATAACAAAACAGAGATCATTCCTCCTCTGCGGGGGAGTCAGACTGGAGTCTATGTGACTGAAGGCCTCTGTCTCCAGCAAGTAGTGTCTGACTGATATTGCAGACTTTAATCCATCAACAGGCTGTCGGATAGAGGAGCGCCGTCGTCCTCCTCCTCCCCCGACTCTTCCCTTCCCCCTCTCATCTCAGGACTTCTTTGCACCACCGGATAGAGTTCCCTCGTGGTGTTTCTTTTTACCTCCCCTGTAATCTTTACGTCACTGCTTGGGTTGACGCTGCACTTCTTCTCAATCCTCCTCTGATTCCTCTTTTTTTCCACCCCCTTTAAAATCTCCCGGCCCTTAATCTGTCCCTTTTGTCAATCAAACCCTGCCGGCTGGATTAGGTCCCTTTTTGTCTCTTTCTGTCTGCACATTCCCGCCCCATTCCCCTCCCCCCTTGACTCTTTGCGTTTTAGAGGAGTGACGTGAGCGTCGCCACGGTTACTTGCCGTTTAAAACATTGATGGGGACCTTGCGGTTGTGCTTGCTGTCGCTGGGCGTGGCCTGGCCCCTCGGGTTCTCCTCAGCCGATTCCCGCTCGCTGGAACGGTCACTTACCACAGAGTCCCCGTCGGATGGCGAGATCCTAGCAGGACCACACACAAGAGCTTGTAACACTGTATTGCCCTACAAGGCAACTGCGCTCCATAGATGCTGGGTTACTTGTTGTTCCTAGGGTTTTAAAAAGTTTTAAAAAGTAGGCTGGGGGCCAGAGCCTTCAGTTATCAAGCTCCTCTTTTGTGGAACCAGGTTCCACTTTCAGTCCGGGGGGCAGATTCGGTCAGCTCTTTTAAAGTAAAACTTAAAACGTTCCTCTTTGATTCTGCCTATAGTTAGGGCTGGCTCAGGTTAGCCTGGACCAGCCCTTAGTTAAGCTGCTATAGGCTTAGAATACCGGGGGAATTCTTAGGACACACCAAGCTCCTCTTGCACGCTCTTGTTCTACCATAATTCACGTTTTATTAATGCACATGACTAATTCAGCTTCTTTCCGGGAGTTTTTTTTTGTGCTTTCTTCCCTATCAGGTCTCCGTAGATCGTGGTTCCTTCGGGACCCTGGTCCTGACACCTACCGTGGCCATGCTGACGCCTGCTGCTGCCATCATCATCATCATTATTATTTTAGATATTAATCATATTACTTTACTCATAAACCGACATTACCCTCTCCTAAAATCTCTGTGCTCTCCCTCCCCACAGGCTTCTGTGGATGGTGGTTCTATGTAATGGTGGTTGCCCCTGCAGTGGTCCTGCTGTGCGCCTGGCTTACTACTCACAACTACTTCATTACTATCATTTCTGTCATAGGAATTGCATGTATTATACATTGTTCATTCTGTACACATGGCATCCATTGTAGTCTGTCCATCCCGGGAGTGGGATCCCTCCTCTGACGTTCTCCCTAAGGTTTCTTCCCTTTTTTCCCTCTTGTAAGGGTTTTTTTCATTTTTTGGGGAGTTTTTCCTGTGCCGATGGTGGGTTTCGGGGCAGAGGATGTTGTATGTGTACAGACTGTAAAGCCCTCTGAGGCAAATTTGTAATTTGCGATAATGGGCTATACAAAATAAAATGACTTGACTTGACTTGACAGACACACGCACGTGCACACTGGCATGAATAATCGAAGCCCAGGAAGACACAAACGTGATGAAACTCCAGGTGCAATCAAAAATAGTGCTTTTCCAGACAGATTGAAGCGGCGGAGACTTCTAAGGAACGCTAATGTGAATCGAAGCTTGTAGTGCTACGTGCTAAAAATGATTTCCATTGACGGAATTATTAAATCCCTGAATGAATTTGTCCTTGCTGGTTATCAAGTGAGGAGAAACAACCAATATCACCCCAACTCCAAAACAAGGCCGTTGCAAAGAACATTATTAATGAATACAGAAGTTAGGAATAACTGCTTAGCTAATGGGTTCCAAATGATTTCCATTATATATAACCAGAGCAGATGGTGTTTGAGGAGAAGTAATTCTGCACATATTATTTAGTTATCATAACTATTACATGTCAAATATATATAGTATGTGACTATTAATCTAAACTACTTGAAATGAAAAAAAAAACTAAAAAACAGTAAGGTTTATACAAGTAATATAGAGTCTTCCAGAGGAAACGAGGACCCTGAATGTCTGGAGCATCAATAATTGATCTCAGGATCTGTCAAATGCTTTTTGTCAGTTTGGCTGACTGTCCCAACTGAGGATTGTGAAAAATCAGAGGTAACAAAAGCAAAAACAAGCTGTGAAATGTCTAAACAAATATCTTTGCACAGCCATAACAGAGAGGCTATAATCAGGTGACAATAATAGAGCAAAACACCTTGAAGAATGAAGTTTTAATACAAATGATGTTAGGGTTGTTGTGTAAGCTATGACACAACCCATGCAGACACAATCTAATGTAGTTTTCTTTTGACTCACCGTTAACTGGTTTTTGAGTCTAAGTTGCTCCTATACCTCGAGCAGCACTGACCTTTCTCGTCTCCGGCCGCTGCGGGACGCCTTGGTGGAGGTTTTGGACACGGGTGTGGTGATCTCCCCGTTCTCAGACGGGCTGAGGCCATCTTTGAGGGACAGGGGGCCGGGCCCTGACGGGACAGGCTCCTGGATCACCATGACGTCATCCTTACTGTGCTGGCCAAGGTGGAGCTTGGCGAAGTCAAATCCTTTCACACTGGGAGCCTGCAACTGGGGACAGACGCAGAGGAAGAGGGACAGGAGCAATATTCACTCTTAGGACAGGGAAGGGTAGATAATGCTGTAAAGCCACATAGTAGAAGTTACGTAGCTCAGGGGTGCGGGGGGGGGGGGGGGTTCTGTCTAAAGCCCTGTGGAATCTCCGACAGCAAAAGAGGATGTCACAGATGATGTCACATCTCAGTGAGTGTGCTTGCAGTGTGTGAAAGAAGGAACGGTGGCATGACCTGCTGCTGGTGCTTCTCTGAACCATGTGTTCACTCACCGACTTCATTGCTCGCTATTTGAGGAAATAAGCATTCGTGAAGATGCCGCTGATGAAGTAAATGCTGATTCATTATAATGGATACTGAGACCGAATGAGAAGCTTGTGACATCCCCCATGTACTCAACAACTAATACTTCGTCCAGTCGGAAAGGTAAATTGGGGAGTCGCTCACAACCAACACTGTTTATGAATCTGCTACTGCACAACACATTGATCGGCTTCTCATCAGGACCTACGGGGCACGGAGACACCAGTACCGAACCCACAGGCAAATTCACCGTCGTCGTCTGGATTGCTTGTGTGTGGACATCACAACCGTCACAAAGAAGAATCCTAACGTCTATTAGCGCATACAAACACAGGTATCTATGACTACTGAACAATATACCTCGTCCTTGGCTCGCCTCCCTTCAGTTAACACTTTCATTTTGTCTCCTTTCTTCGGCTCTTCTGTTTTTCTTTTCATTTCTTTGCTCTCTTGTCTTCTTTGTTCTTTCTGTTTAACTCCTTTCTTTTTAAATGTATCCTTTTTCTCATCTTTGTCTTCATCCTCTTCATCCTCCTCCTCTTCCCCTTCCCCTTCCTCTTCGTCTTCGTCCTCCTCTTCTTCCTCCTCCTCACTGCTCATTGTGCCTTTGCTCTTGGGGAGAGCTACTGGTGTCCAAGCAGAAGCAATGGCGGATAGCATAAATATTTCTACGGTGTCTCACAAGTCCAAAATGCAAACCTAATACTAAGCGCTATTAATTACTGTGTTGTGTTTTACTAAGTACAAACACACATAAAACACGTCCCTTCTACTTCTTCTAGAAACCACCAGACACTGATATGTACCTTCCCTCTTTTAACCTCCGCCTCCTCTTCCTCTTCTTCTTCCTCCTCCTCATACTCCCCCTCCTCTTCCTCACTAAAATCTCTATCCTTTTTGGTTGGAGTCTGCTGAAGAGAGGCCCTGGATTCTCTGAAGGAGGCAGCGGACTGAGAGAGGGGTAATGGTGTTGAGTGACAGATGATTGTGTTAGGCAGAAAGGGGGCGGGCTAAGTGATACATTCAGCGCATTAGCATTCGTTGCGTCGGCCATATCTGCAGAGTTAAGTTTACATCGACTTAACTCAATATACAAAAACGCGAGTGGAGGGGAATGAAAGCTACATGCAGACCTCACGATCAGTCCGGAGGCTGAAGAATACTTAAAGGAAAACCTCCACAGCGGGCCAGTTGTAACTGGGCACACAAATCTATTCCAGCCAACGACATCTCAGTCGTACTCACAGGCTACGCGGCGCTGTGGCACTGCGGTGAGTTACTGCACCTCCTGTGCTTCACGTCAATGTAAGGAACGGAGGAACATGAAACACTTGCATGACACCTTGGCTTTCAAAGCTGTGGGATTTGCTTCAGGCATTAGTATTGCTTTCAAGTATCGCAATGAATTACCACTGTTATTTTGTGTAGAGGATGTTAACTGCACACCAAAACATTATTCACTCTCACGATTTTCGGGTAGATCTGAACCTGTTTCTCTTAAAGTGAAGTGATTGTGTTTCCAAGAAAAGACTATATAGCCCGTTAGTTTATTGTTGGACAAGAACATTTTGTCCATCAGGATGTTCTGTATGAGGACCTCTGAGAGAAGAGGAAATCTCTCGTGTCAATTAACGTCAGCACAAAACAAACTAGTTTTTTGCACAGAGTGAAGGCGCAAAGCGATGATACGTTTTTCAATTGTCACCACTGAAAATAAAGTGTTGGGGTTGTCGGGGCTTTAAGTGAATGAATATGCAAATAAACATAAAGATATAGATTTGAGTGAAATAAAAGAGCAGCCCATTATATCATGATTTTGTTATCCAGCTCATGTCCTCTCATAAAACTTTTACTGATCCTGTCTAAAAGTAGAAATGATGAGGTCATACAGCACAGTCATGGCAGTGACTGATATACCTAATTGGAAGTCCATTAGAATATAAAAGGGTTCTGGTCTCTCTTGCTTTTAACATCGACTGCCTTGGACCTTTCTAGGCTGAACACAGTAATGTTTGGAAAACTGGTTGTGATTAACATTACTCAACCTAATACATGTTTATCAACCACCAGACCCAAACTTACAACCTATGCATAATAGTAGCAGACTGAGGTGCGGGACAAGAGATTGATTGTATGTGTGTGTTTGAGAGAGAGAGCAAAGTTTCTGTAAGTAAGCAATATCCATTATACAAATCTTATTTATTTCTATCCATAATTTACAAAGAATGGTGCTCTGTCACTTTCTGACCCTCCCGCTCATGTGCTGATTAGTGTCAACTTGAATACGTCTCAGACATAAAGAAGGAAACACACAGAGACACAGAGGTCAGACGCTGAGCAGCACTGATCCGTCTCTACCTTCTGCCTCTGCTGGATGGAGGTCATGGCGTCGGGCTGGAACTCCAGCTTGTCCGTGCGGCACAGTTTCCAGTACAGGATGGAATGGATGACGACGACGACGAGGACGGGAATCACGACTCCGACGACGATCCAGGCGTTGGTGCTCTCGGCGTCGGAGGGCGAGGGCACCACCTTCTCCACAGCTGCAGACAGAGAGGTGGACTTTACTACCGCTTCAGCATCTAGTCCAGTCTTCAGTCTTTTAGCCAGTCATACATTGGACACATCTTCTCATTGTATTGAAGGGTGTCTCCAAACCTTTGACTGGGACTGCACAGAACATGACAATGCTGACCTAAGCATGCAGCGGGGTTGGCTCTTCCCTCAGAGCTGTAATCCTTGATGCAGACCGTCATTAGTTTTAATTAACACGTATTGAGTCCCCGGGGAGAGTAGCGTAGGAGCACAGCACAGGGACAGTACTGCCTCGAGGGGCTTTCATTAGGAACTCATTCCTTGTTTAGATTCTTAATGAGGAAGAAAGGCTTTTGGTACAGCGTGTGCCAAGGAGGGTTAATTAGCCTCAAATGTTACTAGAAACTCACAAAGAAACACATGGAGCCAGCCGCTATCTTGTGTTCTTTTTTTAATACTTATTATTATTCTCTCTGGATCCCTTTGTCCCAACAGCGATTCGGCTCAACTTAGTTAGGTGCACCCAGACCTTGATAAGTTGCGTGTATCACAACAACAAAAAGCAAAGCAATCACCGCAGTGCAGTGTGTGTAATAAAGGAATGTAACAACAAGACAACAATGTTGATTTTATATGTCTAAATGCACGGGTAAAAAGTAAACAAAACATGATTTAAATTCCATAACAGCCTTCAGGAAAATGGCAGTGTCCTAATTTAGGACACCGTCGCAAAGCGGATATTTTGGATACGTAGACATGGGAGGTCAAATTAAGTTTGTCCAAGTCCTGGGCCATCTTGTTAATCACAACATCACTCGGCTGCTGCCCTTGATTGTCAGTTATCCAATATGCAAGTGGTACTCACGCTGTGCCAAAATGCCCTGGACACGATATCCTAAAACGATGGCAGCCCTTTGAACGTCGAGGCTGTTGAGCAGGTTGGCTGTTTGAGCTGCAGGCAGCCTCTGACCACCAGGAGCCTCCACAAAATACACCATCTCCAGGGGACGGTCCTCACCCACCAGCCGGCTCGCACTTACAACCTGGGAGGGTCGGAGGGGTGGAAGCACAGCGTGTCATCATTTGTCCAATCGCTGTTTGCAATGAAGTGAGAATCACAGAGATGTGAAACTAAATGACTTTAAACAGATGGGACAAAGACCCGACACCCAATTAGATGTACAGTGAACCTACAACAGAGCAACTTCAACCTCCTCTGAGTGATGCTATCCTGAGCTGTCAGTCATTTCTGTGGCTGTTTTAACCTGTAAGGTGCGCTTTTAAAATTGTTCAACAAATGCTAAAAGAAGTATTGATAATATGATCATTATTAGCGTTAAGTACAAATATTTTGTGATAAAAGTTCAGGAGGCTTGAATCTGACAAGTATTGAGTTAGGACTCTTCAGTTCCTTTCATTCATTAGTACGTTGGCTTCGAGTGGAAGACATTCATCGCCTGACTGGACACATGGTCTTGTATGTGGAAAAGATGCAATGTTGTGACATCTTATCTCTTTCTCCTGACATTAACATGTGCAGGTAAGCAGGTAAGCTTGAGTTAATCTGAAATTCACTTAATCAACTTGCCTGTCATTCACATTGGTAGGGGAGTACACGATTGAACTTGAGAGTGCACACACACACATACACACAGAGCAAGGTGCAGACTAGTGTTGGCTTCAAGTCCAGATGTGCAATAAGAAGAAGCACTGCACCGTCTGATGAAAGCCCTAATGAGCAAAGTGTCCCCATTTTAATGAACTCCACGAGTGTTTTGCCTGAGTTCTGCAGAAACAGAAATTCAGGCACCCACTATTCTGTATTGAAACTCGTTATACAAGCCACTGTTTCAAAGATTCTCTCTGATCTATCAGTCCTTTTGAAATGGCAGTAAAAAGTCTGTCTTCAGGCACAAAAGTAACATGTTCAATACTTGAATTACGTCACAAAAATGTATGTAGACCCCTTTAACTCAACTTGCCTGTTGTATTCTTTTGTCTGTTATCTTTATGTACATAAAGAATCAGCATGTATTGACAAGCACGGAAATATAAACACACACAGTATTCATTGGTTCAATTATTCTTCCATGTTGTATAATATATGTGTGTGTGTGTGGGCAGTCTCCCTCCGGGTGCCGTGAGGCGCAGCGCAGTCTGCTGACTGCGTTACTGGAAAGAGTAAAGCACGGCCCAAATTCAACTTCCTCTATTTTTTCGCCCAGGCAGACTCATAAGGTATTCTTAAAGGTGACAACGCCACACTGGTTCTGTCACATTGTGTCTGGAGCATCTGTTTGATATAGTGTCTTTGTGTGTCTGTGCAAGGGAGCGATATAAAGGATTCTTATGAAGTCGAGAGACTCACTACATTGAACAGACACTCAAATAATACTTTCTTTGAAATACCAAAAAGAAATAGGCTACAAAGAACACAAACACGTAAGGCTTTAAAATAGTCCTATTTAAAATGGATGGAAGGGATACCAAAGTCTAAAATCGACCTTATCCTTGCACAGAGGCAGGTATTAAAGTTCTCACTGTTATCGTCATCGGTTTCCTAAAATGCTTTGCGGGTTATTATGGAGACGACTGGGCAGAAAGGGTGAAGCTCCTACTCAACCAAAAAACAGGCGACAGCCCCCTCGTTTAAAGACCACATGTGCTCCAACTTTATGAGCTCTACTCAAATATGCATCGCTCGTGTTCCATAACAAGTAGCTTTTATTGTGAGCGTTTGGCTCTCCCCATTCTTCTGATTTCAAAATATTTTACCGACCCATGTATCTCTAACCCCGTAACGTCTAACCTCTCAACAACAGAGACGCGCTCTTAATCACCCCGACTGCAGGATACAGACAGGAGCACAAACAATTAATAATTGATCCGCTCTTAGCGGCTCTGTGGCTCACAGGAGCCAACAAGTAACAGGACTGGAGAAATGAGGGAAGAGGGAGAAAGAACAAGGAGACCCGAGGTTGTGGTCTTTGAGTGGCTTGCCCCTTTGGCTGAATGGGATGCTGTTGCCAAGGAGACAGAGCACCATCCTGTCCCCTCAGAGATGAGCAGAGCAGGTGCAGAGCCGATCCACAAAAGCAAGTGGCTGATTAGTAAAGCAGGAGGACATTCAGTGATTACAAACACTGCGGCGCTCACATAATGAGCGCTCAGTACTCAAGGAAAAGTGATAGGAGAGCGCTTTCCTCAGGGAATAAGCATATCAAAAGCTCAAGGAAGGAAGCATTTCCCCAATTTAGTGTGTAATTAGTTCAAAAGTTTGGTTTGGTAATAAACAGGAAATGAAATACATACATATGTCTGCATGTATTCAGTACCTGAATGCTGTTGTTGCCTATTAGCGTGGCTCTCCTGACGCGTCTGATTAATCCCGTTGCCTCGCCCAGCAACATGGCCACCCGGCGCTCCATGTTAGCTTGGAAGGTCCTCTCACCCACTGTCTGGTCAAGCACACCCAGGAGCACTTTGTACAGAGACACCAAGAGAAATCATTTAGGGCAGGGGTGTCAAACTCAATTGCACAGGGGGCCAAAATTCAAAACACACTTCAGGTCGCGGGCCGAACAGAATAAACATTTATTGAACACACTAAAACTAAATGTTTCTTTTAATATAAATATAAATACAAACAAACAGGAATGTTATTAAGCAATAAATAAACTTTAACTTTAAATAACTTAAAATATCTTGCTCTCCATAAAAATATATCCAGTCAAAATTATACAAGTTAGAAATATGAACATGCTGCAAAAAACCGCCTGAAAAAATAAATAAAAATTGTGACAGTGCTTGTGCTTTAAGTAAACATTAAAATAACAAATCAAAACATTTGAGTTTCTTTGCTTTTGTCATTTTATATAAAAAAAACCTTAGATTTTAAATATCACAAATGATTTTACTCTCCATAAAAATATCTCCTGTCAAAATTATACAAGTTAGAAATATGAACATACTGCAAAACAAAACAAAACCTGGAAATATAAATAAAATGTGTGCTTTTAAGTAATAACAAATAACGATGCAAAACATTCAGTTTTCTTTGCTCTTATGCCATTTTATCAGAGCTGGATGCTTTGTATCTTTTTTTGGCAACAAGTTGGTTTATGTTTGGCGTGAGGTCCCCTGTTGTGGAGACTCTCAGGATGGACTGAAGGTGCTCATCAGTGAGACGACCACTGTGTGCTGTTTTGTTTGTCTTCTCACACAGATGTGTGCTACCAAACATGAACAAGGTTCGAGCCGCACGTAGACGGAGCTAGGACATTGCTGCGGGAATGGAGTGAATAAACAGTGTCGTACTTTGTCTTTAGTGTCCCATTACACTGCAGCTCAATCAGCTCCATCTGAATCTGCACAGGTGCAGTTTCCACGTCGACGGCAAATGGGTTGCGAAACAACCGAAATTATTTTTTTGTTCCTCAAAATCACCAAAGCTCCGTGCGCAGTCCGCTCAGTTTATCAGCAAAGTGCATATTTGGGAACACCGTTGTGCCGCATTACTTGGCAACAGGGAAAGTGGGGCAAGTTGCACTGGTGCATTTGTGTCTCCCATAAAATCAGCTTCACTTGAAATGCCTTCACTGCGTCATACATGTCAGTGATCATGCGGTCACGTCCCTGGAGCTGGCAGTTTAAGGCATTGAGACGTGCGGTTATGTCAGCCAGAAACGCCACGGAAAGCGCTCGGCAAGGCAGCTGAAGCGCTGCATTATGGGATCTGTAGTTTATTTTGTTATCAGCGCTTCATATCGTCGGGCCATTAGTAACAATAATATAAAATGATCTTGGGGGCCAGATATAATTGCATGCCGGGCCGGATATGGCCCGCGGGCCTTGAGTTTGACATATATGATTTAGGGGATCAGCACACAAGGTCGCTAATGTAATTAACTGCAGCGGCTGCTCATCACGCTGTGAAGTGTACCCAGGTACCTGTTCTGACCCAGGAGGAGCGGAGCAGCTGGCTGGTGTTCAACTCTGGATAATGGAAAGCTGTTAGAAAATGTGCAAAAATGAGGTTAGGGCAGAGCACGGTTTTACCCAAGTTCATTGTTAAACTTAGAAAACAGCTCCAGCTATTGCACTAAAGGCGACATATTAAGGGAAGTGGAAATAGTAAAAACTCACGCTCTGCAATCTGCAGTACAGGGAAGCCCATGTAATAGCTGAATTCCACCATGGTGAGCTTCATCAGGGCATTGCTGACCTCTGACCCCATCAGATAACCCCTTGAACTGTGCACTGTGAAGATCAAGTCCACTGGTTGCCTCACCAATCTTCGTTCCTGATACTTAGGAGCGGCCATGGTGATGTTTAGAACCTTGAACACAATTAGAAAGAGACGTGGTCTTCAGCAGCCAGAAGATTATGCAGCAAAAAGTACAAAACTATTTTCCTTTCTCATGTTGATGTAGTTTCTGGAAAACAGGGTTTGTTCACTAACGAGGGAGTATTTAACTAGAAATCGTGGGAAGCGTTTAGCTTTAGCGTTTGCTTATCCTCGCAGGACGAAGACGAGCAGAACAAAGACAAAGGAGTCTTTCGTGGCAGCCTTCGGGGCGGCTGAATGCGGCGCCTTCTTCTGCTATTTTTAATAATGTGTTTGACCCCTTTACCCGTACCTGTCCGAACCTCTTCCCGCAGATACTACAGGCCTCGGGCTAGATCTGCTCTCTATCGTAACCTCTCCTCTCTCTCCTATCCCACCCGCTCCACACATGTCCAGCACCTCGTCACAGGAGGTCTCTGGAACTGCCAGTCAGCGACTCGCAAGGCTGACTTCATCTCCGGCTTCGCTATCCAGCAGTCACTCGACTTCCTCGCTCTCACCGAGACCTGGATCACACCTGAGAACACATCCACCCCAGCCGCTCTCTCCTCCGCCTTCTCCTTCAGCCACACTCCCAGGCCCACTGGTAGGGGTGGTGGCACAGGTCTACTAATTTCACCCAAATGGAGCTTTTCTCTCTACCCTCTACCACCATCCACCCCATTGTCCTTTGAATTCCATGCTGTAACAGTCACTCACCCGGTACAATTAACCATCGTTGTCCTTTACCGTCCGCCAGGCTCCTTATGTCATTTCTTGGAAGAACTGGACATTCTCCTGTCTAATTTCCCCCGAAAATGGACCTCCGCTCATCCTCCTGGGTGACTTCAACATCCAGACAGAGAAGTCATCTGACCTCTTACACCTACTTTCTTCCTTCGCTCTGTCACTCAGTCCCTCTCCTCCTACTCACAAAGCCGGCAATCACCTTGACTACATCTTTACTAGAAACTGCTCTACCACTAACCTCTTTGTAACTCCACTTCATGTGTCTAATCACTTCTTCATCTCTTACTCCCTTCCACTCTCTATAACTAACAAACCTCCCTCACTGACTAACTCTGTACCGGCTCGTCGCAATATCCAAACGCTGCTGCAGAGACTCTCCTCTCAACTCTTTCCTCCTCTCTAGACTCTCTCTGCCCTCTTACGACACGACGGACTGGCAAATCCCCTCCGGCTCCGTGGCTGTCTCAACCGGTGCGTGCCATGAGAGCCACCATGCGAGCGTCGGAAAGGAGATGGCGTAAATATAAACGACCTGACGACCTGCTTAAATCTCAATCTCTCCTCTCCTCGTTTTCTGCTTCTATCTCTGCTGCCAAAAGCTCTTTCTACCAATCCAAAATTGAATCTTCATTTTCTAACCCCAAAAAACTCTTCTCGATCTTCTCCAATCTCCTCGAACCCCCTACCCCTCCTCCCCCCTCCACCCTTCTTCCGGGAGACTTTGTCAACTACTTCACCAAGAAAATAGCTGACCTACGCTCCTCCTTCTCTAACCCACCTCCCACTTCTCGCGTCCCACCGACCTCACCTCTTTCGCCCTCACTTTCCTCTTTCACCGCCCTCTCTCCTAACCAAATTCTTACCCTAGTAACCTCTGCCCGTCCGACCACCTGCCCTCTTGACCCCATTCCATCACATCTTCTACAATCTATCGCACCTGACCTTCTTCCTTTCCTCACCTGTATCATCAACAACGCTCTGTTATCTGGCTGTTTTCACAATTCTCTGAAGGAGGCAAGAGTCAACCCCCTCCTGAAGAAACCTACTCTCAACCCTTCTGAAGAAAACAACTACAGACCGGTCTCTCTTCCCTTTTTGTCCAAAACCCTTGAACGTGCTATCTTTAATCAACTCTCCTCTTATCTCCACTGTAACAACCTCCTTGACCCCCACCAGTCAGGTTTCAAGGCGGGCCACTCCACAGAGACTGCTCTCCTTGCTGTCTCAGAGCAACTCCACACTGCTAGAGCCGCCTCTGGTCAACCACCAGATCCTTATTTCCTCCCTTCAGGAACTTGGTGTCACAGGCTCTGCTCTCTCACTTCTCTCGTCCTACCTCGACGGACGCACCTACCGGGTAACCTGGCGAGGATCTGTGTCGAAACCTTGTCCTCTTACTACTGGAGTTCCTCAGGGCTCCGTGCTGGGTCCCCTCCTGTTTTCGCTTTACACCAACTCTCTTGGCGCTGTCATTCGCTCGCATGGCTTCTCTTACCACAGCTATGCCGATGACACCCAACTAATTCTCTCCTTCCCTCACTCGGACACCCAGGTGGCGGCTCGGATCTCTGCCTGTCTAACTGACATCTCTCAGTGGATGTCTGCCCACCATCTGAAAATCAACCCAGACAAGACTGAACTACTTCTCTTTCCCGGAAAAGATTCGCTTACCCAGGACCTGACAGTCAACTTTGGAAACTCCGTGCTAACGCCCACTTTGACCGCTAAGAACCTCGGCGTCACACTCGACAGCCAACTCTCCCTGACTCCCAACATCACCGTGACAACGCGATCCTGTAGATACACGCTCTACAACATCAGGAGAATACATCCCCTTCTCACTCAGAAGGCAGCGCAGGTACTGATTCAGGCTCTTGTCATCTCACGCCTGCACTACTGCAACTCCCTCCTGGCTGGTCTTCCTGCCACCGCCATTCGACCTCTGCAGCTCATTCAGAATGCAGCAGCTCGACTGGTCTTTAACCTTCCGAAATTCTCCCACACTACTCCACTCCTCCGCTCTCTTCACTGGCTACCGGTGGCTGCCCGCATCCAGTTCAAAACATTGGTGTTCACGTACCATGCTGTGAATGGATCGGGTCCAGCTTACATCCAGGACATGGTCAAACCCTACATCCCAACCCGCACTCTCCGCTCTGCATCTGCAAAACTACTCGTCCCTCCCTCACTGAGAGCAAAACACTCGACTAGATCTCGACTCTTTGCTGTCCTTGCGCCGAAATGGTGGAACGAGCTCTCTGAAGACACCAGGACCGCAGAGAGCCTTCACATCTTCCGCTGCAAACTAAAGACACACCTCTTCAGACTCTATCTCGACTAAAGACTAACAAATTGTAGCACTTAAATTGTACTTGTAACGTCACTCATCTATAGCAAATTGTAAATTGGCTTATTTGAGGAAATTGCACTTTCTGGTTTCTTGTTCTCCTGAGTTTGTAGCCTATGGTTGAATGCACTTATTGTACGTCGCTTTGGATAAAAGCGTCCGCTAAATGACATGTAATGTAAGATGGACAATGAGGGAAGGGTTATTAGTGTGGACAGTAAGTGTAAGGAAACAGCAGGGTTTAAAGGTGTCTATGGTCATACAATCTGTCTGGTGACCTGAATGAATAACCATTGGTGGCCAGAATTTAGTTCCTTTGCAAAGGGTAAAAGCTTGTAACAGAATAGCCTGTACTTTGTGTTGAAGTGGGACCAAGTGAGGTTCTCTGGGCATCTCATCAGGAGGAGATCCAAACAAGAAACAAAGACGATAGATGGGAAGAGTGATGACTGGGTCACTTTGCTCTCCACGCAGTCATCGCCACCAAGACCCGTAGCTAATTATGTCAAATGGATGCATTGATGCATTTAGCATGAATCACTTTTGGCTTTATAACTAACATTAATCTTAATAATTATCCTTCCCTGGCTCCCACGTAGTCACTTCTGTCCCTCTTTATTGTGAATAAACACAACAGCTACTGTACCAAAACACGCTGCAAAATCACCTTTAAATAGAGTGATAAATAATACATTTAGCTATGGGAGACAAGGGCTATTATTCAAAGGGATTAAGATTAAAATCTCTGAATCATTCAGCATTAAGGTGCGGTGGCACAATGAAACACTTCCGAGTGAAAACATCTCAGTCAAATGAGCGAGGACAATCACGCCTCCCTGCTCTCTGGTCCCACTTACCTGCACGGTGAAGTTGGTTGTTTCTTTTGAGCGCCGACGCACTTCCGCAAAGGCCATGGTCAAACCTGTCTCAACACTCTCACTGAAGTTGCAGAAGCGCACGTCTACGTGACCGGGAACAAACTGCAGCACTGCTCAAAGAGGAGACAAGTGGCGCTTTAGATCAGGGTTCAAAACCGAAGGTTACCGCATACGAATCACCTGTTGAAAGGCCATTTACCTGCGTGGACTTGATATTTACGGTCTGGCGTTGTCCAGTTGGGAGAGAGAGACAGGAATCCGCGCCCGGACTTCCGCAGCGCATTGACGACAGAAATAGCCGTGTACACAACTGGACCGGACACTACCCGGAACACAAACTTTGGAGGGGAATCCACAACCTTTGGAGAAAAAGCAAGAGTGTATGACGCAGTCAAATCCCTTGCTGGAGTCATTCACTCACAGTTGACTGACTTTAACAACTGGTGCTTCTGAAAGGTCATTGTGATCTTGTGGATTGGTGGTTTGTTTATTGTGCAACCGCTGATAAAAATACTCAGGACGTGGTCTGGCCTACATGGTTATTCTGCACCACTGTAATATACACACACACACACACACTAACACAAGAAAACAACATACGTCCACCTCGCAATATATATTCTCAGAAGATCTCTTTTACACGTTGCTCTCAAAGGGCCTTCTTAGTTGTCGAAACAGGTCGCCTAGTATTACCTTAGAATTAATAGAATATCCTAAATTTACCTGGAGCTCCATAGACTTGTTGAATTCACCTTTGAGAATGTCCCTCACTTGAGATTTGGCGTATCCAACAGTGGCCCCAGAAGGAAAACCTTCATGAGAAAGCACATGGCATATTTTATCACGGTGCTCATAAACATCCATTTTCCGTCACAATTCGGAGACATCATACAAGTAGATGACATTTTGATTTGGGGGCGGAATTTAACTTAAATCAGAATATAGTGTCGAACGTACCAATCTTTATTAAATAAGCAGGCCTCTCCGGGTGGCAGAGGTATGGTCGTGGCGCTGCTGTCGTTGCCGTTGTTGTCGTCATGTTCCTTTCGCTGGTGGCGGTGGTGACGTTGACACTAGTTGAGGCTTCGGCGGTGCCAGTAGCTCTAGTTGTGGCTTGATGAGAAGTAGTGGTGGCAGCTGTGGTTTCGGGTACAGCGGAGTGGGTCTTAGCTTCGCTGCCAGTCGGGATCGAGGTCATTGTGGCTGGGATGTCAACCTGATCTTCTGTCACCCCCTGATCGCCCAACACGACCGGGGGGTCCAAAGTAGAGTTAGATATGGGCTCAGTTGACACTGAAGTGATATTGAAAGTTTGTTCGGTGGGCTCTTGGGGAGTTAATTCTGCCGTACCAGCTGTGGTGTTGGCAGGAAGTTCGGTGGGAGTGTCGGGGGGGCCTACGGTTGCAGTTAAGACAGGAGTGGTGCTTGATGGGAAGGACTCTGTAACAAACCAATGGACATCTGTCAGAGAGGTGGACAGCAGGACATCCTCTGGCAGCGAAGGCGTGGCACTGGGTAGCAGGCCAACAGACCACTCCGTGGTGGGCACTTGACCCCCCCAAACTGAAGCAGATGGATCAAATAAGTTGGATGAGACTATGGATGTATCCAGAAAAGAATGCGTGGCGTTGATCAGCTGAGGACTCTCCTCTGTTGTCGATGACTCGTCTCTAGGCTCGAACCCCGATAGATCACTGGAGAACCCGTCCTCCGCTAAGTTGGTGTCTTCCGTGATGCTGCCTGAGGGTGCGATGTCTGCAGCACCGACTGATACCATGGTAACGTTCCTGCTGCGCTCAGCTTCGGGGTCGGAACCGTCCTTCTCCATAGTCAATTGAGTGACGTAATACTCCATGCTGTTCATATCAGGTAAGAGGACATCCGTCGGTTGAATTGTGAAAGAATGTGGGAAATTTATGTCGGACGCGTCGGGTACCTCGCTGTTAGCTCTGGGAGTAGGGTCCAGGGTATAGTGAATCGCAGAGGTCAATGACGAGGGATCAATGGATTTCAGCGGAAAGATGGCGTTGTAGGCCGTGGTGAGGGTGGCGGTACGCGAGGCATCGAGAGGTTGCAGAGACGAAGGGAAAATGCCGACTCTGGGAGGGAAGGATGTGTCATAGCTTTCCGTATAGTCCTCCGGATCGTACGAGTCGGAGGGCACCCTCGTGGCCAGGGGGTAGTCCTCCCCATCGGCATTCAGGAAGGACATTGTCTCCAAATAGTCTCCAGATCCCCAGTCCACTTCCATGGAGTTGGTGGGGTAGAAGTCCTCTGGAGGGACCTCAGTGGGTTCAGATGAAAGCAATGTGGGGTGGGGGTCGATGAAAGGCACATTGTAGCCGGGGGCCAGAATTATATCCGGGTTTGGTAGCATGTTCGTGTCCCGTGTTGGTTGGTTGTCCTTGACGGGGGCGCCGCTGTGGGCCTCTAGGATTCTACTATGAGGGTCATCTGCCGCAAAGTCAGCGAAAGGCAGTTCAGGCTGCTCGAGAGGCTGAGCAGGAAATGAGGTCACGATGGTCGTTTGCTCGGATGCACCCCCCTGCTGCAGGCTGATGGGTTTTTGATCAGATTTAGGGTTGAACTGAGGTGACGTTGGCGTTGTAAAAGTAGTGGGGCTTAAGGGCGCCATGGATACAATTGCCTGAGGCTTCAGCTTGGATCTCAGAGGAGTTGGAGAGAGGTGGAAAGATTGCGTGGACAACTTTGCCTTGGCCAACTTCCATTCAGTGAAAAATGTAGCTGCCTCAAATTGTGGACTAGACTCTGATATAGGTTCAGAGGGGCCTAATGAAGGAGTGGCAAGAGGATGTGGTTCTTCTTCAGGGACTTCACTTCTTGGGAAGGAGTTTTCAAAAGCAAAAAGTGTGATGTCGACATCCCTGCCTACAAGGTTTGGTTCAGAAATGGATGGCAGGGCAACAGGTGAGTCCGGGCTCGCAAAGGCAGAATAATATGAGGCCGGTAAGGCTGATGGTTTGAACGCCGTTGAACTTCGACCATGTTCTGAAACACCCATGGGCGGCTTTGTAGTGGCCAACAGAAGATCATCTGCAGAGGAGCAAAGAGAATGTTCCAGTTTAGTATTTTAGAACGAAGGAAAGATTCATCGCTGACTTCAAACGGATTTAGAGTCGGACTTACACACAAACTTTCTGAGTCCACCCATTTCCCGGCCGTGAGGCCTTGACAAAGGTTTGTCCTAGAGTAGTCTATCACTTACATGTGGTTTTAGCCTTGTATCTGTTTTAAATCAGGCGAATCTCAAAATGCAAGTTTTTTTTGTGTGTTATATTGATTAACTTCTTTACCAGTAACATGTAAACATATTTGTACATGTCAGAACACTCACAGGGGTTCATCTCGATCCCCAAAGAAAAACATATCCAGATAGACAAAGGAGTTATTACACTTTTTATCATGGGTATTGCATTACATTGTGCATCATGCATAATTAATATGGGAAGTATCCTTGTTGATTACACTACATTGAGCTAATATCTAGAATTCAAGGAAGACTAGATAAGCTGAAGGGAGAGGAATGGAATAGGTCTTAATGTGAGAGTTTACAAGCCTAAACAGAGCACATCAAGGCAACACGACAATTCAGTTAAGCAAGCTCATTGCAGACCGCATGTCCTGAGAGTAGCACTTGAAAGGGAACAACTTTCATGGAGCATTATTTCCATCACCAGAAGCAAGCCACCAAATGACATTCTTCGTAGTGACTCAGCAGCTATTGGTAATGCTGCTGCTCTGGGCAAAGGCTCACAATCGTACACACATGAAAAGTAGACAAAGAATCAGCTGAGGGAGAAGTGTATTTATAACGCTGGGAGCACAGAACAAATCATTTACCAAAAAAAAAGAACATATTTATGTGGCTCTGACTTCGTTTTGCCGCATCGCTTCACACAACGACTCAGCCTCCAGCTCGGCCCAGGAGAAAACTCCCAACTTAATTATAACCTACACTGGTACCTTAACCGAGTCAGAATGCTGTTATAACAGAGCTCATTGTTCTCTGAAGGCCGGTCTGCGCTGCACATCCCCAAACCTTCACACACACGCACACAGACACGGACTAACTCTTAACTTAAGTCAAACTCTGTGCTCTGATTTTCTTTTGGCAGTAAATACACATTTTAAGGGCTGCAGATGTATAAGACGGGAAAATTGTCTGAAAAAAGTGCAGATGTTTGAGGTCACACTGTGACCCCAAAATGTCACCTCATCTCAGCCCTGCGGTGACAGACTAATTCCTTTACAGTCACATGTAGGACATGTTAACATGTTGACATGTTAACAGGCACGGGTGGAGGGCAAAGCATCCAGCTAATTGAGACAAAGAGTATCATTGGCAGGTAATTGATGACCATCCCGACAATCGGACTGATCATCACAAAGACGTGATGGTTAAAGACAAGGACGGGAAATAACCTCAGACGGAGAAAACATAGCGGACCCAATGGTGAGTTTTGATGTTTGGAAAAGACCTGGCTGCCCCCCCCACCCACCACTCTGAACGAGCCCTCCAGAATGAGTCCTGTGATGGACGCGTGTATCGGAGGGACCACGTTCACATTATAAACTATAAACGGTTATTCTAAATAATTAAGCGGGCCTGGTCCTGTGACTCGAAGGCTCATCGGAGGCGGCGCCAGCAGCCGGGCACGGAGCGGAATGACTGATTACAGGCGCCGCAAAGCGACAAAGGCCTTCAGGATGAAGCGGCACTGCCACCTGTCCACCGCACGTGCGTGAGACTCGAGGCAATGAGGCCTTCGGAGAGGCCGCATCTTCAAATATCAGGTCACCTCAAGTCCCTCAGCTCAGGTGAACCTGACCGTTTTTGACAGTCTTAGGAGTCTCAGTCGGCTTTTCTCATTCTGCACCATATGTGACATTAAAAGAACTATGTGTGGTTTATAAAAATATCATCCCGACCATTCACAAAAACGGTGACGCTACCCTACATAATCTCCTCACATGAGTGAAACAATATAGCAAAATCCCATTGCTCTGTATTCATTCAGAATTTATGCAATGACTTTTAATTTATTTATTCCATGCAAAATCTCCGGCTGATTCCACTTCCATTCATCAGACCGGGATGTGTCTTTAAGGCTCGACTCGGTCTAATGAATAGCTGCCTTGTTCGTGCAATGAACAAAATTTGCATTCGACCAAATTGACCAGTAAAGAAGCCTACAAGTCATTTTACTACATGTGCCTCATAAACCGGTAGTTATCTTATCGTGATATTACCTCTATTAATCGCTCAGTCACATGATGCTCAGCAGCGTCTGGCAATCAAGTGCCAACATTTTTTTTTTTTTCGTAAACAGATAACACATTTCCATATATGACGATGTTTCATTAAAAAAAACACATTTTCCATATTGAAGCAGATGATGTCTTTCTTTGAGCTTGTTAGGTGGGTTCTGCCCCCGTTATACATTTGGTTGCAGGCTCTGATTCCTGCCAACAATCATGTAAAAAGGATTCTAACAAGAGAGGGATCATTACTGCTGTTGGTGGGTCCTCACCATAAAATGAAAATAAATGAAGGACAGGACCAACGGTCCTGTGAGAGACTGTGATGAAGGCAGACACAACGTCAGGCATCTGAAAAAGCACTAACCCACTTACCGGGGATCGATATAGGCTGGATTTTATGAGATCATATATTGGATCGTCACTAACCTGAAAGTGCGTGTCTGACTGCAAGAACGGCTCTGTGGAGGCACAGAGCGTCTGAATAAACCTGTTTTTACAAATGCAAATTGAGATCAAATTTGTACTTTTACTTAATAAATTAAGAGGATTATATTCAAATAAGGGAGGCACGGTGGCATGGTGGTTAGCACTGTCGCCTCACAGCAAGAAGGTCCTGGGTTCGACTCCGCCCAGTGGCCTTTCTGTGTGGAGTCTGCATGTTCTCCCCGTGTCTGCGTGGGTTCTCTCCGGGTTCTCCAGCTTCCTCCCACAGTCCAAAGACACGCTCTGGGGATCAGGTTGATTGGGGACTTTAAATTGCCCGTAGATGTGTGAATGGTTGTATGTCTCTGTGTTAGTCCTGCGATTGGCTGGCGAGCAATCCAGGGTGTACCCTGTCTATCGCCCGAAGTTGGCTGGAATGGACTCCAGCCCCCCCCTATCCCCCGCGACCCCGTGTGCAAGAAATGTTTGGCTTTCACCGCGATGCAGCGTGTTCTTGTTTTGAGACTCAAAAGTTTGGGATGTTTATGTATAGAAGTTCTCTGTGGAACCTTTTCAATGAGTTTTCACACCACGCAAAGGTTCTTTATGTGATTTTTTTCTTACTAGTAATCGATGCACATCCTAAACGCCAACAAGACTTTCATCACAAAAGAGTCAGACTTAAACAAAGCCTGCAACAACGAACAGAAATAAAGCGTAATCCTCAAAGCAAGATAGATTGTGATGACTAGCGCTCTGATCCCACGCCTGGAAACACAATTCAACCTGATAATGCCTCTGCAGACAGAACGTGGCTGATGTCTGGAAGCGAATCATTGAAAATATCTTCCCATGGACTCCTTCACTCCAGCAGACCATGTAACTAATCACCTAACAAAGCCATTACGTTCACAGAAGCACAACTTGAAGAAGACGGATGATGTGTTTCTCTCTCCATCTGTTTTAATGCAAGCGGCTCTGCAAAGCCCAAATAAGGATTTCCTGCTGAATAAAATGAGCATCGCAACTCTTTTCATGCTTCAAAACAAGAGGCGCGAACAAAAGAAACACAACGCAGAGACATTAGGTTAAACAGAATTGTTCAGTAATGATTTCAGGGCACATACGTTCCGTTCCCTATGTGTGTGAGAAACCAGAGATTTCAGACCCTCTAATTAAATCATTTGCCAGGCTCCTTATTGCAACAAAAAAAAGTGATTTATGGTTGTGCAGTATAAAAAAAAGAGGGAAGAAGAAAGGGGTCTTTTGGTATTAATGCTAGCTAACTAGAACACCACACATGGTTCTGTTTTCAGCTGAGCCCCTTGCGTGACTGCCTCCCTTCCTGCTGACGCTACCCCCCCCCAAATAAACTTTATAAAAGGGTGCATTCATTAAAATGAACACTAGTTGCTATCCCATGTTCCTACTTGTTGAATTCAAACAGCAAAAGAACAGACTGAAGTCAATTCTATAAATAGAATGTTCTGTCAGCTCAGCTGTCCAGAGGAGCTCTCTGGTTGAGCCGAGGGCCAAAAGTAAAAGCCAAAAGGTTCGACTCAGGTTCTCCTACTTATTGATCTACAACTGGCTTCCAGCGCTGGTGAATAATGAATGGCCACATTGTCATCAGAACACGGATCACATTTCACACGGCAACACGGTAGTCAGTCAGGACTCGGCTGGCCTGCAGAGCGCCGCGTCGAACTTGCCAACCACTGCAGTGCAGACACGAGGGGGGGGGGACAATGACGGAGACAGAGACAGAGAGAAAGGGGGACTTAGGAAGGAAAACTGCCTTGGCCATTTCTAGGATATTTCGGGGAGAGTTATTATATCCTTTATGCTCAGCGATTTTCTTTTATACAGAAATTCAGCACATTATCAGAAGGACGGAGAGAAGGAGGGAAGCAAGATGAGGAAGACGTCAGAATGGGAGGAACAACTATAAGTGGGTCATCTGTTTATAAACTATAACGTGTGCTTTCCCGACTCTGGAAGAAGAAAGCTGTGTGAGGTGTGATTTCACTGTTGCCTTTCGCATGGAAATGCAGTTGTCATTGTGGATCAACCCCTCAAACAATCGCCTCTTCATGTTCATGTCCGGGATGTTTTAAAAAGATCTGTGAAAATGGATGTTGAACAAGCTTACTTGGCCCATAAGGATCAACGCTGACTTGGTGGTGAAATGTAATCTTTAAGTATGGGGAAGTATACGACGCAAATGTACAGGCAAGAATTGTGTTGAACTTTCTGTTTGTACTGTATGACACATCCTAACGTGCAGAACAAAACGGGCTCACATTAAAAAATGGAACGCAGTTTCCTTGAACTTAATCCAATCTGTGGCCGATAAATGAATCCTCTTGTGAAAAAGTGGAAAACTGTACGTCACAACACGATCATAAAAGTGTCATCAAAACCATAACGAAATAGGCGTGGCTGAAACAAACTGAATGAGTCCGGAAAATAATGACAAAGCAAAGTAGTTGTCCTGCGTCTCATGGAAAACTATCTTCTGCTAAGTTCACTGTGCAGCGAGTTGACTGTTAGTCGGTCACACCACATGAATGGCTGTCAAAAGAAAGAAGCTGGGGCTGGTCAGCGTAAGAGTTTAAGATGAACTAATTCCGGATTAAAGCTTTCTCCCTGGCATTTACATAATCCTATTACAGGTAATATCAGGGGTTTTTTGGTTGCTCTTGCAACGTGTTCCTCTAACAGGCCGGTGGGGGGATGGGTGCGCGGATCGTGTCACTATCTATAAAAGTAAGCCCCGGGGAATGCAGCCATCAAATGGATGCAGTGAGACCCTTTCTCTTCCCCTAATTACTGGAAAGTGGTTTAACGATGCACACTGTGTACTCGAGGGATCGAGCCACTTCCCCTCTTGTGGAAATCCAGAATCAGACACCGGAGTCACTTTATTATGACATCAACTATCCAAATGGACGCAGCAGCCCCCGACTGTGCTCACATGAAAATCAATTAAGCTCATGTTGAGGTAAACTACCGGACGTGGACGTTGCTGCTTTGAAACATGCACAACTAAGCTTAAGGCTACACACCCTGCAAACTGAATGTCATGTATGATGTATTTGCATTAATGAGATGACAAGCTTGCAATAGAAGAGCTGGGAACGTTGCACCTGCAATCTTACGACTGGAAGGTCGCTGGTTAGCCTTGAGCTAAGCATCTTGTGCAAGGGGATGCTCGTAGATGTGCAAATCATCGCTTAAAAATAAGGTGTTCATGCTCAGCTGCCCTACTAGGATGTGCGAGTCAGTGAAAAAAAGGTTTGTCTTACCTGCAACATGTGAGTCGGCAGCGATCACCGACACCAACACTGTAAACATCCCGAGAAACAGTGCACGCCGGCCACGGGCACGCATGAGAGTCTTGAGCATCTCCACCAAACCCGCAGGGGAGACTAAACCTGCCATGGTACGGCGGGGGAATGGTCAAGGCATTTCACCCAATTCAAACGAGAAGATTCATTCCGAAAGAGGCGATGGAGGTTCGGGGTTGTTTTCGGGGGGGGCGGCTGCGTGGTTTGGGTCTCCTTTTAGTTCAGGGTCCGTCCTTCCATAACGTGTGCTCACAGGGAGGAATGGCTGCTGAAAACAAAAGAGCAACAGTGTTTTTGTTTAATTACTTCTCTTTATCAGCCAATGACTGGAAACAACCACTGAGGTGTCCATAAGTAGACAATCTATTCATGGTTACTTTCTCAAGGCACACAATAATAACAACAGGTAATAACAGGTCAGTAGGAAAGGTCATTCTTCTGGAAATTCAGATTGATGATTAGGAGGGTTTTTAATTTTATCATCACATTTATTTTTCCTAATCTATGCACTGGGCCTATGCAACATTGGATTTGAAAGTATTTGATAAAACAAATATCCTATTTTACCTCTGTAGCGGCCGTCTGCCATTTCCTGTGTGTGAGTGTTGGTACTTTTATTTTGAAATGTAATTAGCATCAGAATCACGTGGGCAGGTGTGCAGTGGTTTATGAATGAGTGTAGGCATCTAGGCAGAGTGATGGTTGTATGGACATGGGGGTGAGTCGGGAGACGATACTTTTTGTTGACCGTATTCTACAGCGCACTTTATTGCAGCGTCGCACATCATGCACATCATGTATTGCTTCGCCTGCTTGCTTCGCCATGTTTTTTAACTTGACTTTCGGACAATAAAATCAATGAACTTCACAGGAGGAATCTGCGTCTGTTTGGAACGAGTCCACACACCAATCTCCCGTACTTAGCCTCACGTGACTCTACCGGATTGTAGTCACCACAACCTCGTTCCCTACAACGTTAAACAACTGTGACAGAATATGCATCTTCCAATAGAAGTGGAAAAACGAACAATCTAATGTTACGATTTTTGGCTGTAACGTCGTGAAAGTAACCTGACACATTCTAGGCACATGGCGGATACCATTAGCCAAATGAACAGCAATTACGTCACCGCCATGGCATTAGATCAACGTAACCCGTCATGACCGTTGGTGAACGTGGTGAAGGCGGCGGAGGAGGAGCAGCACGGACGGCGGCGCGCTCTCCTCATGACCCGCTCCCCCGGTCCCTCGCATCCCGCGTATTGCCCGGTGAGGCTCGGTAGAAGCAGGTAAATACCTCTCACCCCGAGTGCTAACATACCTTAGCTTAGCTTAAAGGGCACAGATAACAGGACACCCCCCCCCCCCTCCCCCTCTCCCTCGGCCGTTCCTGTCAGCCCCGCTCGTAGCTGCGCATTCACACTTACCCCCCCAAAAAACGGAGCTGCCGACTCAATGAATTCCTTTGTCCGAGTTACGAGGTACGTCCTGGGAATGAAAGTCCGCCAGGCGCTTCGTCGTCACACCGTCCCGCAACCACCTGCCTGCGTCCCAAGTTGTTTCAGTGCGCACGAGCTCAAAGCTGGCCTTCATCTGACACTCTCTTTTTTGGGGGGGAACAGTTAGCTCCTCTCGTCCCGAGGATAGGGTCAGTCCCGCCCCCCCTGGCTCGTCTGATTCGTTTAGGATTGATGGGAGTGGCTCTCATTGGCTGCCGCTCAGTTCTGTCAAAGTAATATTAAATTGGTCCTCCTCGACTGGCGTCTGCGGCTTCGGATTATTTTATTTCACCCACTAGTAATATTATATATTTTTGTCAAGAGTACTAGGCTTAAAACAAAAGTGTTAATTTTTTACGGACTTATCTGCTAAAACGCAACACTTGATGGCAGTTATCATTCAGCGCATTCACAAAAGAACAGAACTTGATTTATGCATTGCATTCATGCACAGTAAAAACAATGGACGTGAAAAAACACCATATAGATGAATCTAGTGATTCTTTAATAAAATACTTTTTAAGAAATACATGTTTGTCTCCCTAGTAAACAATAAAAAACTGTTTATAGCATGATATTGTCATAAACCGGGTACCTTCCTCTTTTTCTTTTCCACCCCTTTCATGTAATTTACACACACTCGCACCCCCCCTTCACACACACACACACACACACACACACACACACACACACACACACACACACACACACACACACACACACACACACACACACACACACACACACACACTTAATTACACCTGCTCATTCATTCCCAGCTGCTTCTCATTCTCTCATCTCATCATCCTCTCTTCCACCCGACGTACCTGAGCTCGCTGTCCTGTATCGCCTTCCTTGTTGTGTCCTGACGGTTCGTGCTGAACTATTATTGTCCCGTTGCTAACCTCTGCTTTACCCAGCCTCCAGTTTGACGTGAGCTGCCTGCTGTCTGGTGCTTTCTCCCTCGGCCTGGACCTCGTTCTCTGCTCACTGGGCTTCACCATTGCTGGCCAAACGCCCGTATTCTTCTGTTTGTGTGTTTGTGTTCATTAAAACAATAGTAAAACAGATATAGTCAAAAGGAAATAAATATAATTTAAAGAATGTCATTTTTCATTTTACCTAACATCCATCATGAAGGTACTGTCTGTTGCCTGATTATGAAACAATATAGAATAAGATTAATACTTTAATCCAGCAGCTTTTGTGCACTGGATATCTAAAAACAGTCATGCACACAATCAAGCTCAGGCAAATTCTTTTGTCAACAATTGTAGTCAACATTAATTTAAATGAAAATACTGGTAACTCCTATTATATACCGACATTCAATTTTAGACACGTCTTGATGGCACCCAGTGTTATTGTTTGTTCATATAATCACATACCCATTGATCAGTTCTCAAAGTAGAGATTGTAACCAGGGCGGCAAGTGATCTTAGTCCATATTCGCTTAGCTTCACTAAAATGGGAAGCCGTTGTATCACTTATTGGCTTTTTATTACTAAAATAATAACTACCAACACTAGTACTTTTAAAGGCAGTATTGTATTGTCACATATTGGCAAAATTATAAAACAAACATATCACATATTTGGGAAATAAAACTGTCTGTCGCAAAGTCGAGGCAGCTGTCGTAAAAACGGCAACCGTCGAGGCACCACTGCGGCAAAGTCGACGTAGATGTCGTGAAGCCGTGGCAATTGCCTCGAAGTCATGGCAAGTGTCTCGACTTCGTGGCAACTGCCTCGTGAAATCGTGGCAACTGCCTCGTAAAATCGTGGCAACTGCCGCAGTGTCGAGGCAGTTGCCACGATTCGCCGCGGCACCGCAACCTGCAACAGTAAGTGCCTCGGCGGGTTGCCAGTGCCACGATTTGCGCTAGCTCCTACTGGAGACATTATCAACGCCAGTCTTTTTATCGGATGATTTAAACCGCTGAAATAAATCACAACCTAATTAATCTAAAGGGGAAGCATGTACTTTTTGGCAATGACTCGTTTTTGTTGAGGCCGAGTGGTTGTTGGGACCTCTGCCGATTGACGTCAGTTTGGTGCAGTTTGGTGCACGCTGCCACCTGGTGGTCAAGTAGTGTGACTGTAGCTGAAGCGAAATCACTTTTTGGCTGTAATTATATGATCATTTCAAGCTTAACATTTAGCTGGTATACTGTGCGTATACTGTAGTTTAACTGTAATTGTGGATGTTTCTTATTAAAACATGCAAAATAATCTCGCCTGTGGTGGAATGTAACTGCTTCAACCAATGTATTTTTTTTTTATTTTGTTATACTTTATTTAAATGTTAGCAGGTTATGCTACTTTAATCCTACTACCCTAAAATCCACTGAAAATATTATAGTTATGCAGATGCTTTCCAGATTAATATTGGACATTAAAAATGAGTTTATGCAAAATACCGTTGCCATGAAATGGAAGTGGTTCTACCTTGAACTATTATTAGAATATAATGATACTTAATAATTATTGTGTTTAGTATTAACAATCCTGTTATACAAAGACACCCTCACTGGTCATTTTTTTCCTTGATGGGTGCCTTTAATATTTGATGCAAAATATAGGACTACTTTTGAACCTATCCTGATAACTTTGTAATTCTGCACAGTGTTATTTAATTAGTGGAATTTGTATTTTGACTTTGGCAGTGAGCAGAACATTATTTCACTACTGGATTCAATCTTGTGCTGCGGGCCACTTTAACAGGGTGTATAAGTAAAATAAGTGGAAAAGGTGCATAGACTTTAAACATATGTTTGCATTATATATTTGTAACCGTCACACACACACAGACACACCACAGTAGAAGGAGATCGGTGCCGTGACTTAACAGTTTAATGTAAATCCAAGACAAAGTAGAATACATTTCTGCACATATACAATATGCATATGTGAGCATACAAATTCTCATTAATAACTCGATTCACCTCGGAGACCGAAAAAATGATCAAAAGTAACAGTGAATAACAAGCTATAACATAGTTCACCACAACGCGAGCCCCTTCTCACCCTACAGTTAGTAAAGAGGACAATTCAAATAACTATATTCTTCTATTTGACGAAGCTATTTGCTTGTTAAAATCCTCCTGTAAAATTTACAATGCTATAATTAGTTTATTCAAAGCCTAATATAAATTCACTCCATTTTTCTACAACGAAAATGATTAAGAGAAGCACACAACATCATAATGGTAACACAAGCGCTTAGTAGCTCAACTTCTTAGGAGGTTTAATTAATCCTTCTTCTTACTGTCATTATATTTATTTAAACATTCTGTAAAGCCAATAAAATATCCATTCTCGTAACATACTTAATAATATTAGGGTAAGGAACTGGGTATACATCGAACGCTACAGATCAGAAGATTGAAATAATGAGACATCACACCCCAAAAAACAAAAGTAAATAAGAAGAGACAATTAACAGAGAAGTATAGTAGGAAATACTGCAGCACACATTAGCTGTATCGACAAAGAATGAGATTTTACACCGATGAGAAACCATACAGCAAGAAACAGAAAAGGGGGTCAGGGTTTGATGCACTCTTAGGTCTTTAGAAAATGCAAAATAAACGGATAACTCACTTGCATGAGTATGATAGTGTGATTAAATGGAGCAATACAAATTTGAGAATGTACCAAAAAAATCACTTTGACTTTAACGTGATGTCTAGCTTTAGATGAATATTTTTGTAATGTAAAAAAAGGCCAATTTGGCTTTGAATGTAGCTTTGGTCTACCACTTCTAGATTCCGTTCATTGACACCACAAAAACACACCTAGCTTTGGCTAGAAATCTTCCAGAAAGTAAAATGGGGAAAAAAAGCTACATGTTTCATTTATGTAAAGTTGGACCAAAGTGGTACAAATGGATCCACATCCATGCCTGCTTTTACATAAATTAGAATAAATTAAGATAACAGGAAAACAATCGTATTTCAATCAGTTTTGGTTCTTAATTTCATTCATTCACCCGACACCCTCTATCAGCGATGGCATCAAACCACCAAGGAACAGCCAGCAAAAGGAGCAGATCTCCCCAATGAAAAGGTAAAAAAAAAGAACACAGACTCTCATCTGAAAGGGCTTTAAGAACGCTCGCGTGGCTGGATTATGAGTCACCTGGTGACAGAGAGGTCAACCCATGATTAACCCACCTGACGCCTCTTCCTGCACTTAAAGCGCCTACGAGTTTGCCAAATGGTTTACGTTTGCGCTGAAGCTTGTGTGGATGTTGCGGGTGGTCTGCTCTCTCTCTCTCTCTCTCTCTCTCTCTCTCTCTCTCCAGGAGTTTATCCGACTAAGACTAATGCAGCGCCGTCGACGCTCTCGTCTCAGGAATGTTTCCCGGTGTCCCCAAAGCTCCGAAGGGGGCCGAAAAGAAATCGCAACATGACCATGAGCAAAGTTGGAAGTTTGAGTATATATTTAAAGGAAAGTGCCAGGCTTCACGGGGAGAGTGAGGTCGGCGGACTGGTCGGCCATTTGGAAGACGGTGGCTATAGCTGGGAAGGCCGCGCTCACCTCGACAACACAAAACGTTTTTACACTCTACTTAAGCACATTTTGGTAATTGTAAGGTCACTCGATCTACGTCACATTTCTGATTCCCCCTTTTTTTTTATAAGAGACAAAACGTTGGTTATGTGAAACTTAATAATAGACAAAGGTAACATTAACACATTAAGTCATTTCCAACAGCTTTGAGTATACGGGGCCTCTATTAATTTAGTTTGAGAAAATAGCAATTATTTGACACCCCCTAATCGTGAGGATGGTCATAGTGTTAATGACTTACTCTTACATAGGATTTTGCTGAAGATCAGATCTATAATTATTGCGTCATGCATGGCCACTTACGGTGTAAAAATGAAATGAATGGTCACCCACGGAGAAAGATCTAAAGCCATTTCAGATGTCGCAGGTCACGCATTACATTCATTTTGTGCGGGTGGCCGTGGTTTTAAAGGTATAGTCGGTGCATTTTTGATTAATTCATTTTGACAGGTCATTTCACTTCATGGCACGCTAATGTAAAACAACATTTTTAGTTTACAAAGTCATTTTCACACAACACCGATAAAGCAACGACATCATCAACAACAACAACAACAAAACAAAATAAAAAATAAAATAACAACAACTGGCTTATCAATTTAGAGAGAAGTTTGATAGTTATTGATCATTCAATCTAAACACCTGTGAGGAGTAACGACAGTGAAAGCAAACGCGCAGCTCTTTTCGTGGCCGAACGTTCAGGATTTTAGTCAAATCCGTTACTCTGCTGTGTTCCATAAATACGTCGAATCGCCTTCGTGAAACATGCATTTGCTTCTGGGGGGGTAAAACAACGCGTCCTCAAAGTTACTCGTAAAGCGTTTAAAGATGAGACCAGGAGTTATTTGCCCCTCTGCTGCCCTTGCAAAAGCTCCGGTGGTTTGCTCGCACTTTCCTGTGCTGTGCTGTACATGATTGGTCTGTTGAATTCTTTGGTGGGAGAAGCGAGAAAAAAAAAATAAAAGATCTAATGTGACGACGCTGAAACAAATTTCAATGGATAATCATCTCCCATATGTGTGTGTGTGTGTGTGCTTAGGCCCCAATGACCTACAGAAAATTGAATAAAAAAAGAAGACAACAAAACAGAACAGAAGAATGATGTAACCAGCAGGTTACTAAGCAATCACATCTTCTACCTCGGGCCTGCGTGCTGGAGGCGGGGTGTGTCTTTAAACGGGTGCGCCCACCTCCACGGAACACTAAACATCACTGAACATCAACCTCCAGGCTACAAAGCAGAGCCCGACATATCATAAAAAAAGACACATCCACAAGAATTATTGCAACAATCTCTAAAAGATAAACACAATAGGTACTACAGCCATGTCAAAAAGTTCAAGGTAATGTTAAGTTAAAAAATCCCTTCAAATGCAAATACTATGGCAAACCATAAAAGGGGGAGGGGAAGGCTTTCACTACGACACCAGCAGTACTGCTGAGTGTTCAAGAGCACAAATGAACGGAGGAGATTATTTGTATCATTGGCTACAAGAAAAACAACAACAACAAAAAGATGTCTGTTGAGTCAAGCAGCAAACGCGCAAAGTGACACCGCTATTGGTCGGTTGTCTAAGTGTTCGGGGTGTCCTGTTCGGCTGGCGCGGCCATGTCCGTGGCGCTCCTGGCTCAAAGACAAATGGACAGTGGCGAGGAATCGTCCTCGAGGCGCCCCCTTCCAGGTGCACGCTGGGGGATTCCCCCTTCCGTTCACCCAAAACCTCCAGCGTAAAACGAATGACACTACGTCAAAACCAAAAAGGATTCATGTCAGAATTATAAGTGTGCGTTCAGGTGAGGTGAAGCCCCCCCCCCCTCCGGCTGCCACCATCCCACCGGGCTCAGCGTCACTATCAACCTGCTCAGTGCCAACTTGCTACCATTTTAGTCCCATTCAAGATTAGGTTTCCCTCTGCCCCCTCCAAACGCGGACCCCTGCGCCCCCCACAAACAGCCCCTTCCCTCCCGCCCACACAGTAACCCTCTCAAAACCACCCTCGATACCCGCCTCTCTTCTTTAGCCTGGCCGTCCCTTACTTTCTGTCAGGCCCTCTTCTGCGTCTCAGAACATTCCCGCCACGTGAAAACATTCCCTTGAGTGATTATAAAAAGAAAATCAAATATTTCCTCCCAGCTAAAGCCACAATGTTTGGGTGCCACCCGTGATAGAGGTTCACGGCTACAGCTACACTGCACACCTTCTTATTTACATTAAAATCCACAGCAAAACGTAAGGAGAATTTATCTATGACTTTGGTAAGTACCCCGGGCAAGTTATCTCATGCACACATAATAAAATAGCTCAGCGTGATATCAGCTCAGCTCTCGACTGACATTAATCTTCGCCGTGCGCGTTACGCCGTCATTAAGGGCGTGAGCCTGCACCTGGAAGAGAGCTACAACTGCCCCGACTAGGATGTCAAAACCAGAGAAACACGCGTCTCCACCGTCCAGCTGAGAGTCTCTGGTGGCTTTTTCGGGATCCAAGCCAAGTAAACTGTGTGGTTATGTCTGTAAGGCACTACGAGGGAACAATGGTCAGAACCTAAAGACTGGAGAGAGTTCTTTTTTTTTTTTAAGGAGGTGGACTACGCACGCATGGCTGACGGTAGCACACACAGACAATCACGTTGTACATGCCTATGTTATTATAACCACTTTGTGCAATCACATTGAAAAAAAAGAGGAACAAATAAAACCGACTGGTATCAGGGGGAGGAAAAACAAACAAACATGTGCAGACTGCTACATTCTAAGACGCCTAGCTAAAACCCAAGTATATCGTTATAAAGGTGAAACATAAAGGAACAGAATATCTATAAATGCACACTAAAAAGTTTGTTGTCTTCTGTTGGTTATATTTCCAGAAAGCTCCTCGGCTGGAGAAGGTGGAGCGGGTTGGGAGTTGCCTGTCTTTTGTCCCCACACTGGGGAATGATTTTGGAAACATTAAAGACAGTTCAAGGCCATCAATATATATATATTTTTTCTTTGAAGAGCAGCAGGTTTTCCGTATTTCACCTTCTCCCGAATGTCTTGGGATTCCAAACTTCCAGTCAGTAACCCCTGTTCAACAGTCTCTTACCAAATATACGGGGGGGGGGGGGAATAAAACACCAGAAAGCCTCCACTGTCCCCAAAGGGCCCGTTTTCAAACGTCCCTGTAAAACTAATGACACATTACTTTCCTTTAAAAAGCAATGCGGAGAATAGACAAATAAATGAAAAAAAAAAAAACTGGCTCTTTCAGGAGAAAAACAAATATGAAAGAAAACACTCTGAAATTCAACCCCATCTTTCCCTTCTAGAGAGGCTGTTCCTTCTTCTTTTCTTCAAGCCATTTGCGACAGTTTCATGAGGATTGCATGTTCCTCTGTCTCTGTTTATGTCTGAGGTCGAGGAGAGGATGTTCAGGATTTTGGGGGGTGGCGGGGGGCAGCAGCAGCAGCTCTCCAGTGTCAGTCAGCGTCCTCTCTAGAGGTAAGGGTACTGGTTGACCTTGGTGGGGCTCAGAGGGTATCCAGTGTAGACAGCGGAGGCGGGCGAAGCGCTGATGTAGGCCTGGTGGGCAAACTGGGCCTGGTACTGGCCGTGGTGCAAGGTGGGCGAGGGCAGCACGCGGTGGCCCATGCTGACCGGGACCTGGTGGACGATGCTTGGCGGGTAGCTCCCGTGCTGGACCGCGTGGCGCGCCGAGCCCTGTGACGCCACCAAGTGGGCCACGGTGCCGGTGGAGCCCAGGGCGGCAGGTGCCGTGTACGTGTAGAGGTGGGGCTGGCCAGGCAGGTGCGTGGCCGCCAGGTGCGGGTGGACGTTGCCCGCGTGAGACGGGCTGTTGTGATGGAAGGAGTACGGCGGCTGGGTGGCGATGGTCGGGGTGATGTAGGCCTGCTGGCGCCGATGACCGTTTCGCTCACTCGCCATGTGCTGCTGGGCCTGAGTGAGGAGATGTCAGTTTTAACTTGAAATATGAAACTTTTTCCTAATTTTGCACATTTTGGGAGATGAGCTTATTTGAACTTTTGGAGCTAACCTGCTAAGAGAAATCCAAACAGTAACCACTTTACATTCTATACACAACATCTAATATTCACTTGAACATATCGTACCTGGCTGAGATTGAGAGGCTGCTGCTGGAGGGCGTGTAGCCCAGAGCGCTGCTGGCGGTAGGACCCGCCCCCGGTCAGGCCCCCGTGTAGGTGATTATTGCCGGACGCCAACCCGTTGGAGGATTTGAACTTGTAGGCTGAATTCTGATGGTTCATTGGTTCTAAACAGTTAGAGGATGCAAGTTGGGTTATTTGAGGAGCCGTGTCTTTAATGTGCAACAACGTCATGGTTGCTGGGTGATGGATGAGGCTGCGTTTCGGGTGGTCTGCGTGCAATCTCTACAGGTCCCGTACCTGGCATCAGCCGCTCGCACTCATTCGGGGCCTCGCTGCTCTGGGTTTTGAGGGGAGGAACGATGATGGTGCGGAGGTTCCCGTTGTTGTAGTTGTCCAGGATGGTCTTTGTGTCGTAGCTGTTGTTGTTGTTGTTGGGGGCTCTGGACTCCAAAGTGTAAGGGCTGTTGGAACAGTGGGAGTCGGGTGAATCGTGGACGGTCACGCAACTGATGACATTCTTCCGCTGCTTTGAAGATGAACTGGAGGAAGGAGAAGGGAGGACATTGGAAATGAACTTCTGGGATCAAACAAAGACAATCAATATTAATATTATTACTAATGCTTAGTGTCTATTCAGGGTCTCGGGATAAGCAATGACAACAAAACATCTCAGCTCGTGTCCGCCGAGCGAAGCCCCGCCACACTCATCCCCGAAACCCCACAACCGACCTCTTGTTCTGTTTGTGGTCATCTTCGTCGTCCGTGTCGCTGCTGATGGTGATGATGCTGACCGCCGGGCTGGGCGTGTCGGGGATGACGATGGTCTGTCTGGGCAGGTGGTGTTGGTGCTGGTGGTTTCGGGTGGTGCTGGAAGCCTGTTCTGATTCACCCGGCCCCCACCCTCCGCCCCCGTAGCCCTGCTGGGGCGCGCAGTTGAAGGAGGACGAGCCGCTCTGCAGCACGGCGCAGCGCGGGGGGGTGTTCTCCTTCACCCGCTTGGAGCGCTGCGGGGAAAGCACCGTCTGGGAGGACGACACCTCGTAGGCCGACATGTTCCTTGTTGAAAGGCAGAGGAGAGAGTTGAGGGTCAACTTGGGGGCAAAGCACGCAGACGCTGCAGGTCAGAAGATGGTTCCCAATATGTCTAGACCCGTCCGTGTGAGAGTACCTGGCGGACATCTGGTGCTGTTTGTTCTTCTTGGAAGTGGAGTTGTTATTGGTCGAGGGCTGCCTCATAACGTGGGCCACTCCCACGCTGAGCGTCTGGTTGGACGGGAGCGTGACGTGGCCGGCCAACAAGGCTGGCTGCTGCATGATGGGATTGTAATGGGTGCCGTGCGGGTGGGAATTCCTGTAACACAACAAGGTTTCTGTGTGAGCAAGACACACCAAAAAAAAAATACACCAATATAACAGGAGAACGTATTTCCCACAGACGCCAGCAGGTGGCAGCAGCTAACTTTTTAAAAGAGCACGAAGAGCAGGAAAGGGAACAAGTGAGAGGAGAGGGTGAAGGGGGGGCAGAGGAGCTGACACCGGCGGAGCGATAGCTCTGCAGAGGAAGTGCGACACTTTCCCAATCGTCTCTCTGAGGACAACAGAACTGCCTCTGGACAGGAAGGGAGGGGGGGGGGGGGGGGGGGGGGGGACGGGGAGGTGAACGCCTGCTCACAGATGGACAACTAGGAATGAATTTGTGCATAACCAGGTGTCCTCCCGCGTACACGTGATTCACCTGCGTCCTCGCATTCTCCCTGCCGATTGGCTTCTGCCATCTACCTATCCATCCATTCATCGAGGTATTGCAGTGACAGGCTGTGGTAGACCTGATGTCTCCACATGTCCCATCTCCATGAGGTAAATCTGCTCTTATAAAAAGCTTTGAGCCTGTGATTCATTGACAATAAAGGACAAGCTGTCAGGGAGATACAGGGTCCTCCGTCAATTCTGCTATACCGTCTTCCTATAGCACATATTGACCTATAAAAGCCATAAAACCACTGCTGGCCTTTGAAATCAATTAATCTGCCCTGACCTACAGTTGCTTGCCCCCGAATGTTGTACTTGTGTAAACTTGATTTAAAAAAAAAATCGCTTCGCTCTTGAAGCTTTAAAAGTGACACACGTCAACCTTGTTTCATGCGGCCGCGGCAGAGACGATCGATGGATTTGAAAACTCTTAAGCCGCGCTGCATTCAGACATCAACGTTTAAGGCCTGCCCGGCAGCAGTCGCAAGACAGAAAGCACCGTGGTTCACCTCCAGTTGGCGAGCGGCTGCGCGCTGCTCATGGAGTCCGGGATGACGGTGGCATGCTGGACCGAGGTGTGCGTGAGCTGCTGCCAGGCTGGAGGCAGCAGGATCTGCTGGGTGCCGCTGGGCCAGGCCTGCTGGGGGAGGAGAACACAGGGTGGGGAATAAACACAGAGGGAGAGGGGGTGGAGAAGTGTTGAAAGGACATAGAGAGGAGAAGTCGAGGGGGAAAACAGTCAGCATGCATGTATCCAAAAGCAAATGCATTTTGATTATTTGTCTTTCGAGGACTGCAAAGCCGCCCATGATTGAGTCAAAGGGAGGCACAAAGGGAGCTCGTTGATTAGATTTGAGGGAGTTGTGATAAATTACAGGATCTTTTCCAAAGTGCACAACAGCTGATCGTAACCAGCCACTGGGCACGTAAAAGGGACCCCGCCAGCTTCAAGGAGACATCCATCGTCAAAGGAGATAAGGACTTAATAAAAACGTACAGCAGCTCCTTTCTTTGGGTACGTTGGTATGACTGAATGTGGGTGTGGGTGTGTGTGTGTGTGTGTGTGTGTTTTAGAGTGATTATATCAACCTGTTCTAATTAAATTCATCGGCCGTTTGATGCCGCTGTGAAAGCGGCTACTTTGTATTTCTGATGCAGAACAGGAGGAGTCTCTTGCTTTATGTGTCCCAGGATGTGCCGAGATATGTGTGCGCGCATGCATGCACGAACGCGTTTGTGTGTTACTGCACGTGTAACCCTAATAGTTTAATACAGTTCTATTGATTAGCACTTGAATGTCAGGGATAATGAATTGTTCCTTTAATACCATTTGCACATCTATTTACAACAGCATCAGTATGTTCTGCAGCACACAACACACACATTTAAATAGCAGAAGACAAAGACTCAAAGAGAGGAACCACACCAATTGAAAAGCAGATAACCTGTGAATTAGCTACGGGGACTATTTTTACCTTCATCTTGTAACTTTATCCTAACCTTTATCTTTGTGTTCACATTTTTGCTTTGCACTGCCTGTGTTCATTATATTCTGACACAAAGTAGCTGTTCTGTTCTGTATTCTGGCTGCAGGCTCGTGGAAGCTGAATTGTTTTGTCTGAGGCAGGTTGCAAAGTCCAAACCAACAAGCCTTTGGTTGAAGTGCTAAAGGGGGGCATCTGCAGGCCAGCGGCGCTGCCTGCGCTCCTGTGCGCTGATGACTGACATCTCTAATCAAACATTCTGGAGCCGGAGATGGTCTCCACATCCGAGACCACATCCAAAGCCTTTATCAACATGCCATTAAGAGACTGTAATACATCCATCCTTCTCCCGCTCCTCCTGCTCGCGCTATCTCCATTCCCGGCACTATACGTGCCTCTCTCACTCGCCGTCTGCGTTGTGTAACCAGCCTGTCTGCCCTGAAATGGTAACCCAGTTAAGAGACCATTTCTTTCTTCCCAGAGTACACCATCACTATCAGCAGCCCACCGCCTCCCACCTCGACCTACACTCTCCGGGTGAACGCCCTTTGTCACCTCAGGCCTTTGAAAGCGCCAGATCTCATTCCCCAATTGTTTCCACATTTTCTGCATTCCTGTTCCAGATAAAGGTCCTGCTGATCTCCCTGCTTAGAGCACTCCTTCCCTCTACCCCCCCCGTTCCTCCCCTCTCCCTGCTCCCCCAGCGTGCCTACGACTAAACTTGCATGGGTCCAAAGTGGGCAAAGGGCACTTAGCGGTGGGTGGGTGAAGGCGCAGGTGGGGCGGATGCAACCGGCAACCTCGGCCCGCGGGACCTCCCAGCGCAAAGGAATAAACACACCGCCAACCCGGTTATTAAGTGTGCAGCTCGTTGGCCTGTAAAACAAACAAACATCTGCTTGCGTACAGCAGGTCTTTGTTTAACATGCGTGCAGACAGGGGTGAAAACCCGCAGAGCCGGCCAGCAACGTGTGATCCACACTTGACACAGTAGGTGAGGTGATTTACGTTTCCCTTAAAGACACGTAGAGGATTTAATCTGTTTCGACTCTGCCATCACATCCATGAAGCTGGTGGTGTTGGGAAGTGGCCGGTCACGCAGAGCCCCATTCAAGCCGCCCCTGACCTCCCGGGATCCTCCGAGGCCTGTAATTTGGAGCGCCTGACTTGGAAGCAGCCCTGGAGCTAATCACCATTTGGTATCTGACAGATTAATCCACCATAGAAACACAGGCAGGCGCACACAGACACACACACACACACACACACACACACACATAAAGAGCCTCGCTGCCCGTCTCCCTGCCTACTGCATGATTAACCGGAGATAAGGGAGCGCCTCAAACTCCCTGGATTCACAGGGATATTTAAAGCCTTCATGGAAATTTCCATAGGGAAAGAGGTGGTGTGGGGATGGAAGTGTCCTACGCTGTTTGTGTGTGTGCGTGCAGAGAGAGAGAGTGAGGCACAGTCACTCCCTGTTACTTCCAACAACTGTATATTAGCAGCCAAAGCTTGGGCCCCACTGTGCAGGCTCCGGCGAAGGCCTTCTCCGTGTGAACGCTATTATTTTATTAAAATCTATTAGTTCCAATCTCTGTGGTACTCTACCTGTGTAAGCAGGCCGGGTTGAATCTGCAGTGGCTGGGCACCGGGGGCTTGCGTCACTATGGGAACGGCGTTCTCCATCCGCACCGAGTAACTGGTGTGCTTGGAAGGGGACGCCTGCAGCCCTGTGCACAAATAAAGTACGCGTACGGAGCATGTCAACAAAATGCGCTAAATGACACAAATAAATCTGCGGAAATGTGATCATCGCCGTTTCATTTTTAACAGATGTCAAAAGCCCCTCTGCGGGGTTTTGCATATCGAAACAGTACTAACTGATGTAATACATGCAGCTCTGGAGTCAGTTTTAGTTCTATCTCAGATAGTCATTTTTATCCCATTTTATCTCATCAAGTTATTATGGGATAAAAATGACTATCTGAGATAGAACTAAAACTGACTCCAGAGCTGCATGTATTACATCAGTTAAAGGTTTAGTTCTGTTTTCTATCCTTGCATCATGTCATGGCGCAGGTGCTCGCGGTTGGAATCGTTTTGTTTTGTGCACAGATTGACCACAAGTCCCACTCCGTTTACTCACACTAATGCATCCTGACTGGTGGAAGTCCCTTACCTTGGAAGCCAGGCGGGCAGACAATGAGTGCCTGCTGGAAGGGGTCGGGCCGAGCGGCGCAGAGCTGAGGAGGCCCCGGCTGCAGGGGCATGCTCCTCTGGGCCACGGCCGCCATGGCGGCGGCGGAGGGCTGGTAGAGTGCAGATTGGTAGTTTAGTATGGAGACATCAGGACTTGCAAAGGAAAGGGTGGCATTGTTGGTGGAGGAGGGAACCAAGTTGGTGGCCTAGAGGAATGATGGGAACCAAAAAAAAAAAAAAATCATGGCAGTGGAAGTGTGGATGGGAACGACAGAGAGGTGGAAGTGCTCTGGGGAGGAAGGGTTGAACAGCAGACACGGTAAAAACAACAACATGACAAAGATAGCAGTATTTAAAAAAAAAAAAGATGTAAAACAACCGCATAAGATGAGAGCCGGTGGAAGAACAAGGAAATCAACTGATTTAAAAGTGTCATAAAATATGCACACTGATGATTTGATTAATTAGAGGGAAAGAATGTTGAGAGAGATTCAATCAATGCTACGATTCTTAGAATAATCAACCGTCAAGGAGCAAAATGCCACTGGAGCATATTTACACTGAGATTCTGATAATTGTGTATCATTTAAAGTATTTAAAGGCAAACAAATTGGTGACTACTGGTAACAAAATACTGAACATGAATTCTCAGTACACAATTTACAGCAAAATGTAACTTTATAATAAGCTTATATAATTTTCTGCAGCGAAACTTGACATTTCATGTCACAGCTTCACCATCCAGCCCCCAAATCAATATGCCATGAGTAATATTTCAAAGCCAGCAGTCATATATATAATTGCGTGAGCTCAGGCAATTCCAGCATGTGTTGACCATTAATAAGACATGTGGAATACTCAGATTGCCAGAGAACATCCAAGACACAAACAAATGCTTTTAAGAGACCAAAAGTAGTATTTTTTTATTATCACCAGACACTGTCTAATTTTAGCCCTTTCATTAAACGCACACAGTGGTGGGGGGGGGGTGAAGGGGGGGTGGGGGGGGTGGAACGGCAGCGCGCTTTCATTTTTTTCATTTGCTCTCTTTAGCGCGTTCGATAAACACTAGGGGAGAGAACATAATCAATACGCCACTGTGGCATTCATCATAAACAAGCACGAAAGCAGGAAAATACAAATGCAATGTAGATGAATCCAACTGAATAAATCACTAACTTAAGTCTGTTTGTGTGCCCTGAAAGCCGGCAGAAGAAAACACAAGCTCAGGGAACGTTAATCCATTTAAATCACTGCGAGAAGGAGGTTTTTTTTGTCGCATGCTACACAGTGTGAGCCGGCTCGATATAGTCGGTGATAAAGAACATTGTTTACTAAAGAGAGGGGTGGGGGAGAGCGAGCAGGAGTTGGAACTGAGCACAATCTGGAAAAACCGTGCAACACGGAGCTCAGTGATTCCGGCATAAGCCAAAAGTCAGCGGTTTCTATTCAAGCACGGAACGCCTCAGTGGCACCAATGAGCGAGGGCTTTACCTGGCTGTGCATAGTGTTCAGCTGGTTGTTGAAGGTCATGGTGAGGTTGGTGGAGGTGCTGGGGGCCACGTGGGTGATAAAGGGCGTCTTGCTCTGGTTGACCGCATCGTACATGTTGACACGACGCTTACAGATCTCCATGTTTTGGAAGCACGACTTTACACTGCAGGGAGAGAGAGAGGGAGGGAGGGAGGGAGGGAGAAGGAGTGAGCGCTGCGTCTCGCCAAAGCGGCAGATGTTATTTCACGGTTTGAGTGGAAATTGGACGAACAACAACAACAACAACAACGGGGCCCGTTTGGCACTCACTGTGTGCTGTGAGGGAAATCGAGGAGATGTGACATGGTAACAAAGGGGTGGTTGAGCGTTTCGATAGGAGTGATCCTCTTGTCGGCGTCAATGGTCAGCATCTTGGTCAACAAGTCGATGAACTCCCTCCTGTCGGCCTTCTCTGCCAGCATGTCGCTCCCCTCCAGCTCCGACGTCATGTTCACCTGGAGGTACCAACATAAGGCTTTATTGAGAATTCAAGGATTCTCGTGTTGCTGCGGTGACAGTGGGGGAAAAAAAAAGAAAACCCTGCTCTCCCACAACTTATTCCCAAAGAGGGGCCTATTAATACTCACAAGGCCTCATCAGTTAGGGTGTCAGTGTGAGTGTCACGGAACTCGGTGATAACCTTGCACCTAAGTGACATTATAAACATTTGCACTGGTATTTTCAGCCCCACTTGAAATATCTCCTGGCGCCTCCGCTGGGATTTTATTTAATCTATTCCTGAGATGTGAAAATAAACAAAAACATGAACCCCAATACATGTTGCCATTGGTACCATATTTCTAATGTAAACACACAGAACTAGGAGTGCTTGATTTGTTAGGCTGAACATTAACTCTGGGGACTGGGTTTACTTTTACTGGGTTTAGGTACGAAGGAAGTCTGGGTTTAAGGAAACTAGCAGGTAGTCAGGCAACGCGAGGACAGTGACGGGGACACAGCCAACAGAAAGGCAGCCGCCATGTTTATTGTGAGCGCCATGCAGAGGTAGCGGGGCTGTTTTTAATAAAGACGCAGAGCTTATCTCTGGGCCTGCTCCAGGGGCTATCAGATGTGCTGCCAATCAACACCGCAAATCTGATTCAATTCTCTATTCTCTTATTCAGGCTATGCAACCATTCCCCTCCGCTTGCCACCTCCGCTGGCTGTGATAATAATCTGCGGAATGAGGTGAGACATGATCACGTCGTCCTCTGCTGGTGGAAAGAAACGACTTTGGGGAACGCACACAGTCTGGTTGTGCGTGGATAGAAGTTGGGAGTTGGCAGAGAGGTGCCACAATAATCAGACAGAAGCCTGAAAAGGTAAAAGAATATTCTAATCGCCCGTTAAATTAATATCCAGTGAATTTACTGGAAGGAAAAGGCATTTCCGTGCTTCGTTTTCTAACAACAAGCCAAAGGCAACATTTGTCATTGTTGGAGTGATTGAATGTACATTTAAAAAGGGCCACTAAAGTCAAGGGGCTTCAACTGATGTGGTCAGTCAGCGCTGCATGTTTTGCGTGTCGACGGCTCTTCACGGAGCCACATCTGTGCCGTGGGGAGCGCTGACATGCTACTCCGGAGTGAAGGCAGGGACGGCAGATGTCGAGCGGTGCCGCATGCAGGACTCCGGCCTGTCTCCTGCACAACACTATTCGACTTGTGCAGATTCACCCGTAAACTTTATTACTCAAGCACGGGAAGAGCAGCAGAAGAGAGTGACGGTGATATTTGCGTTATAAGTGTGGGTGTGGTAAAAAAAAAAAATGGGAACGCGGCGACGGCTTCACTCGTATCAACGGAGATAAAGGATTGCAGATTAAAATGAATGCGTTTATTTTTGAGCAGGCCTTCCTTCCATCTACATCAGTCCTCAAGCGGGATCCTGCATTTGCTCCAAGTTGGTCTCTGATTTACTCAAATTAGATAAACTTGTGACTGAAGCCTCCCAACATTTCCCACGACTAAGAGGAGGTTCATTATCTCTTCCTGGCACCCAGCCTTTCTGTCTCTCAGGGCCTTCAGCTACATCATCCATTATACACGCAGAGACAGATGTCCACAATGCTGACTTGTTTATAGGATAGGAATAGTGAGATGAGGAAGAAATAGGAAGTTTTCTCCCACGTTAAGCTCGTGCAGCTCTGCAATATCGCCCTCGTGGCAAGCTGAGTCGGGCTGCTGCAGCGAGAGAAGGATGGGACACAGAGCTCGGAGCGTCGGAGACAGAGATGACCCAAGGGATATCATAGCAGTGCAGGTTGGTTTCATTAAACTGAATGTGTGTGCATGCGTGTGTGTGTGTGTGTGTACTGTGTACTGTTACTCAACGAGCCCCGACAGCGATACTATCTTGCCGCACCCGACAGCCTGCTATTCCACACTGGCCTGACAACGGCCTCGGGCTCTACTGGACAACCGTAATTGTCTCCATCACTTAAGTCACTACTTATCCACGTTGACGGCTTCCAGAAGCGGCTCCAGTTTGGGCAACAAGTCGACCATTGTTCAAAGAGAAATAATTCACCTGCTCAACTCTTATCTCTGGGCCTGTCATTGTCAGAGGGAAGATCGAGGTGCACGATGACATGAGAGCACTGTCACAGATTCGAGGGAGCGCTGGGAGAAACATTGTCATTTTCCATCACGCTGCCATTTCTGTCAGCAGGATCAGTATTTGGCCAAGTAAAGGTTGAAAAAAACAACAACACTTAATATCATCTCCCTTTCAGGCACATCCTATCAAAATGTGATGGCTACGTGTGAACTTCCCCACCGTGGAGAGACCAATTCAGGCGGAGTCATAGAGGAAAGGGACGTTAAATGTATCTGCATTCAGTAAAAGGGCTTTTCCATACAGACGTTTTGTTGTAATATAATTCCCTTCCTGGGGTTCAGCAAAAGCTCCTTAACAAGCAGATTCCCACAGGTGACATGCAGGTCTGCTCAGCGGCTGCGCCATGAAGACGCAACGCGCCACCGGACCCACCGAGCTGGTTTGCAGAACTGGAAATGTGTGTGTCAAGAGCGGGAGAGAGTCCAACACTTCCTCTATGTATTTACTGTACATGTACTATACACACGCACATATTAAGACATGGCCACAACAGTCAATGCAGCTTAAATAATAAAGCAAACTGTACATATACCACATGCTCGGCTTGAATGTCTGCAGCTTATTTGATAGCGGTTAAGCGAAATGAAGAGCAGATTTCAGAGTTGGGGAGCGGTTCCAGTGAACAGCTGCTTTCATTTCACTTTGTAGATTTCCAGAAAGAAGCAGAGCTACAATGCATCTGGAGATCAGGCCTTTGGCGGCACAAATATCTTAAAGCATCTCAAATATTTCTTCGATGGATCAAACAGAGGTGACCCACGCCTTAAATGCAAGACAGGTGGATGTCATTCAAGCAAAAGACCGAGCAAAGGCAAATAATCCATTGGGATTCGTGGGGTGGGGAAGAGTCGTGCTATGTGTGACCCAAACGGCGTACCTGCGCCATATCATCCAAGCAGTTGAAGATGTACTTGCGAGCCTCCTTGGACTTGATCCCTGTTTCGCCCTCGTGGTCCTCCGGAGTCTGCGGGAGACAAGAAGCAGATGTTGCTCTCAAATCCACATCACACTTCCCCTCTGGAAAAGCACTATTTACATTTGGCTCATTACAGCCTCTTGTTTGTTGGTGTGCAGCAGGACTCGACTTGCCCTCCGAGCAACCCCGGGGTAGCACACAAACGCTCATCTGACAGCCGGGGATGCAGGGGGGAGAGACACGGGGGGCGGGGGGGGGCGGGGGGCGCCATGTGGAAGCACACACTTTATCACTGAGATGACGCACCGAATGTAAACGCTGAAAAGCTTCTCGCAAATGTGCACATGGACACATTCACGTAAACACAAGTGAAAACAGGTGTAAAAAAATTGAATGTGAGAGTTGAATGTGACGGTTCCTCGTATTTTTAACTACAGTCAGCAGAGTGATACAGCTGCTATTATGTGGAAACATGTGGCAAGGTCAAATTAAAGCTAAGCAATCACTCAGGACGGAAAAAAAATGGCGAGGACGCCTTGAAATTTGATTTTCCACAAAGCAGAGAGACTGGTTGCAGCAGGTGTGTTGGGTCAGTGACTTTCCATAGAACAATGTGACATTAAAAGGCTGCACAACGTTTAGCTGACAACTGCTAGAAGTCCAGGGACAGCGAACTCGGGAGCATTTATGCTTTGTGACTTCATTTAAAGTGCAATTATCTTTGGTTCGTTACTGGGATTCATCAGAAGCAAACGCAATCCCGGGCTCAGCTGGATCAAACACTGAAAGGACGTTACTGCCCCGCCGAACAAAAGTTCAGTTGAAGTTAATTAGGGTAGAAATGAAGGAAGGTGCTGACCTCCTCACTGAGCGGCCCACATGGAGGGGCAGTGGGAGGGGTCGACACCAGACACCGGGATTTATCAGCCTGGGCTTCCATTTACCGAATCCTCTCACAGGGATCCACTTGGCTCACGGTACACTCTCACTTTATGTGTACAGACTGTAGAGCCCTCTGAGGCAAATTTGTAATTTGCGATTTGGGGCTATACAAAATAAAATGAATTGAATTGAACTTTCCTTACATAAGAATATTAATGGCAGATATCGCTGGCAGAAACATCACCTGCTCTTAGGAGGATGTTCAGCCGTACCTTAAGTCTCCAGAGGGGGTAGGTGGAGTCGGGGTCCCTGTTGAAGAACCTGGTGGTTTTCGTCCCCGCACTCAACAGATACTCTGCAGGCAGACCTTGTGTCTGTGAGATGTACCGGATCTGCAAGACAAAAGACAAAACATGCACGTGGGCCTTTTCACATCATATGCATGATTGAGCCTTAAGTATTAAGGGACACCAGTGAATATCACCAATAAACAAAAAAGGGCTAGATGTTCAGGATTGACGCTCGGCTTTGCTCCAGTCCATTATAGCTGCACGGCACCCAAATAGGACCTCAGCGCAAGAGCCTGAGATTAATTCGAGACGTGTAAAGCGAGACACTCTGCAAAGTTTTCGGGCTGGTGAAATATCAGACGGGCGTGTTCAGTGATGGAGCACAACTCCGCTGAGCCTCGCCCGGCTGATAGAGAGAGGGGTAACGCGGCAGTGTCTTGCTCTGGAGCACAGGGGCTGCGCTAATTGGACAAGTGGCTCTGTGGCATCTGTTCAGATAAACAGGAAGGCTGCTCAAGAATTGTCAGGGGCTCTCACAGGGATTGTAGAAGCACCCCAGCCTCCCAAACACACTCACACTCATAGAGAGAGAAAACAGATGTATCCACGTAACCCGTAACTGCACATGAAGTGAAGTTTGTGATTATTTAAGCACCCGAAAACACGCGATTATGAGTGCGGCCCGGAGTTGGAGACACAGTTCGGAGGTCCAAACAATCCTTGCGTGTTACCTGATCGTACTCGGAGGCTCCGGGGTAGAGGGGCCATCCCAGGAAGAGCTCGGCTATCACACAGCCCAGGGACCACATGTCTATGGCCTCGCAGAACGGCAGGCCCAGGATGATCTCTGGTGCCCTGTGTGGAGAGAACACGCAGTGCTGTTAGAAATCAGACATGCGTGCAGAAGACCGACAAATGAGCCCGGTGCATCACGCGCAGGTCAGAGGAGGAAATCATCTAGTGTGGGAGTGAGCTGCACGGCCTCCAAAGTCAATAGGATTTTAATTGGACAATTTACACACGCGGATGATTGCGTTCGTATATTGCACGTACAAACATACTTTTCAACCACCAAGAAGGAGAATCAATCAATGGATCTATTAATCGTTAAAGTGTGAAGGCTGTTGTATTAACTTAACATTGATCCCTCAATGTAGCCTTGTCCACTAGGCTACATTTTTTCTTATCACTTGTTTAGGCAGTTCTTCAAGGATCCACATGGCGGTTAACTGATGAAGAAACACACAGGAGCGCTGCAAAGAGCCAGAAGGGTACGTCTTCAAAGTGCCAGGGTCCTGAGCCATAACGCAGTGTGGAAGCAATTGCGCCATAAAAAGACATTTAAAAAACATAGAGATTGCATAGAGTTAGAAAATGAGCTTCATCCGGCTTTTAGTGCGCTGCATTTAAGTTAATAGTGCCGGTGCTTAAATCCTAGACACTGGAATACATAAACTATAACAGTGATGCACAAAGAGACGTTTTCAGTGCAGATAAATATCTATGATTTGATAAAAGAAGAAGAAATATTGCTTCAGTTATGTGAGCAGCAACGCAGTCCGAAACAATTGCCAATTTCCATTCAACATGCTTTATATCCTGTTATAAAGGGTAATTCACTCCTTGTGAGCTCACATCTCTGATGGAGTTTAAGAGAACCAAGAACACAGACTCTGCTCTCAGGAGCCCTTTCAAGAGCTCTTCTTTCTGTCGTCGGCATGCGGAGGACACTCTGGGTCTTAGATGTTGCCTATTGGTGAAAATGAGCCAATATATAATCTATCTATCTAGACGGAAATCCTTGTCTCTCTTCCAATGACACATTAACAGCGTGACACACAGATCCCAGGATCTTAAGGCTGATCTTGGAAAGTTTCTCACTCGTGGCTGAGTTCACATGGCCGCTGTGACCATGGAAACTGGGCCAAAAAAGAGGGCACAGGCGATTCATTGTATACTGAGATGGTTCTAATAGAGAGAGACAGAAGAGGCCAAAAGAATAGACGATAACACGCTGGATAAGGAATATAAAACTGGAAAACAAGAGTTCAAGAGAGGCTGAGGCACAAATAAAGCGAGTGAGGGGGAGCAGTGAGGAGCGTCTGTCACAGAAGGTGGTTATTGGGGTCCGTAAGGGCAGCAGTGGACAACACGCTAGCGGCAGTATCTCAGGGCACCGTTACACACCAAAACAAAGACACCTTCACACACAATGAGCCCAGACGTCCATCAAGGGGCTGCCAAGGAGGCATAAAGGAGTCTGCTATGAGGTGATAGCAGGAGGGGAAGAGAGAGGTCGGCTGAAGGTCCTGTTAGAATAAGGGAACAATGACGACCGTGCGCACATCTGTACACATGAGTAAACAATAGGGGCGGCCTTCAAGGACGGCTGAGAGGCCGTCACACCTTCAGCGGGACGTTGTGCTCAGTCAAACCTGAGAAATCCACAGGCACATGCTAATGAACACACATTAACATCTTCTTGCTTTGGAGTAGGTAGATTCAAAGTCTTCAGAACCTGAAGCCAAAACACTTTAACAGTTTGATGACAAAACATCCCTGACAGTACGATCCAGACATTTGTGAAGGTTATGTTCTATTTATAAATTCAAATATCCCGTTTGGTACTTCCAACTCGTTGCTTGTCACGCTGTGCAGAAATTGATAATAGAAACAAGCAGCGTCCATATTTCGGCACACTTAGTGTTTTTTTTTCTACCTGTTAAATATTTATAAGATATAATGAAACCTGCTGTACTGCAGCAGACCAGCTCTCACAACACAAAGCTGTTTTTTTGGCTCAGCTGGGAGATGGGTTTATCCTGAACTAATCCTGAACTAATAAGTCACTTAAAAAACAAGTCACCATCATGGTATGTGATTCATATTAGATGCCAAAGAAAGGTGGCTTTCATAGTCGACGTCAACAGAATGTACTTTCACAAGAGCAGCGTTAGGTATTCAGCCTCAGCGCAACGTTTCCATTTATGTGGCCATAGCTGTGTGCCGTGACCACACGGACTTTGCCCCTGAGTACGATGGTGAGATTTGCTAGTGTTGATGTTATTCTTGGATCCATTTCATACCGAACCTTCCTAAGTTATGCTGCACTTAGGCCGTTCTCATGGCTCCTGTGCCTCTCACAGAAAGCTCCTCCCGTTCAGCGCGTGTCAGAGAGACAGAAAAAACGAGAGCGAAGGAAGGGAGGAAGGAAGAGAGAACCCCGAACCAATGCACTGCTGCCATCGCATGCAAAGCGCCTCCACAGCTGCTGCTGATACAGGCCTTTCGCTGGCAGTGATAAACAGCATGCACACACATCTGCGCGGCTCACAAACCATGCCTCTTTTCCGCCCCCCCCCCCCCCCCCCTCTTTCCTCTCTAAAGCAGCACAGTAAACAAGAATGACAATTTACGAAGACAGGGCAATTTCAGTTTTTGATGCCGTGGGAGACGTTGCTGCTTATCTCCATTGAAAGTTTAAAAAACAGCACACAAGCAGCCAGATGTTGAGTTCACACTCAAACTATTTGGTTAAAGGAATTCTGGGGTATATTCGAGATTAAACTTGAACACTTGAAAACAACAAATGGACAGCAGAAGAGTAATGTCTTATGGAAAAGTACAGTTTTGTCAGACAGACAGAACCACATTAAGAGTCTGTAGCGATGCTGGTGGCTCTGTGAGGCTGTGCTGTAGGAAAACCTTATCAGCATTTTAATACCCTCGTCAGGGCGAGGCTCCCGTGTGGATGCTGACCAGGTAAAATGGTCCCCACCTTAGTTTGCCATGTTTTAATAAAAAAGAACCAATTCAAAATGTGACCAAATTCCATGGCAACCCATCTAATAGTTATTGTGAGATGTCATCTGAGCCGCACAAGGTAATGGTGGCGGCGGACCTGGGGGAACATTGGGGGTGGTGGGGGGGGGGTCTTCATGCTGACATCCTCCCAGCTGGCCTGGTCATTGATGAGTCCCAGTCCCCTTGGTAGCCAGAGATGGCACCACTCATGAATGGAGCCTTTCTTAGGCCCGCCCCCCTCACCCCTCCCTCCGCACTTGCCCCCTCTGCCATCGCAGCCAACCCCTACACCTCACGCAACCTCGCCATCCACCACCTCTGCCCCCCGAAAGAACCCATTCAAATCCCCCAGATTAGGGGGCCAAGGCCAAGGCCAGTGCTCCCTCCTCTGCTTGCCTGTCTGCCCTCCGCTCCGTTGAGCTGCGCCGCCAGTCCACGCACACACACACACACACACATGAGCACATGATGCAAACACACAGTCGCAGATGCACACATTGATGACATCACGGGCCGTGTGTGCCTGTCAGGATGTATCCATCAGGCTGACCGTCCCTGAGTTTGGCTCCAGACGGGATACTGATGGATCCCTGGACCCCCGCAGCATTTAGAAAACACACATACACACACACACACACACACACACACACACACACACACACACACACACACACACACACACACACACACAGGGGTCAGCCAGTCAGAAGTAATGGGTTTGATCTCTCTGCTTTCTGTTTGAGTACTTCATCATGCAACTGTGTTTCACTCAAAAGGCAGGCAGCCAGTTGTACATAAAGAGCAGGATTTAGAGTGGAAGTAAATAAGATTGTATGATGTCTTGAGCAGTGTTTTGAGGGCTAAAAGGAAAAAGTACTTCATGAGAAAAGAGCCTGCCATTAACGTTTGTCCAATCTATTTTATTCTCCTCTGTCACTTTCCTCCACCATCTCCTTGCCTCTTCCCCTCTATCCACCCCACACTTCCTGGCCTAATGCAAAATGCTCGGGTTTGTGGTGTGAATGACTCCCCGTCCTCCCGCAGGTAACTCATCTGCATATAAATGCCCTCAAAAAGGTCCTTGACAACCTCTTCGGAGACGCACCATAGAGAAACACTTTTCTCCATGTATTGCATGGACAAGACACACACATGCACAGTACACACTACACCTCTCCAACCGCTCCACCTGCTTACGTGACACCAGAAAATGCTGCACTGCACACAAGCAAAGCATTTGGCAGTCATCATGTAAATGCTTATTTATCCAGGCAGGAGCTGTAAACTGCATTTCAATTTAGGGACCGTGTGGTCCAGGTGGTTCCGGGGTTTAAAGGAGGATGGTTGTATCTGGACGAGGTACATTTTTTCACAAAGTCCTTGAGAAATGTTTTCTCACTCTCTCAGCAGGGACGACATTCCTGGTGGTTGTGGTCTTGTAAACAGGCCTTCCTCTCTCTTTTTATTTTTTATTTCTCGCTCTCAGAAAAGGGCACAGCGATGACGAGGCTGTCACTGTTTTATTTGTCAAAGCATCCCCGTTGCTCTAGCGATGCATCGCAACAAGGCGCATGAAGGCCTGTGGAATAAACAAAGGGGAAAGGGTGTTTAGTACCAAGGGCAGGGTCCATTTCCCCAAAAAGCGGTCAATGGGACCGTTAATGCAAAAAGCCACTGGGGAGACCTGCGGGCACATATTAGGAACCTCAACTCTAACAGAAGCTGTGACCGCGGCACCTTCGATGAATCATAGCAGGCTAATGAAATATGAGTGACAGCTACGTGTATGCGTTTGCTGATTCAACACAACCTGAAGTACAGGTCAGCTGAGCAGCCTCAGAGGGAGTGAACTGTGACTGAGAGTTAACATAGATAGCCTTTTAATGCTCAAAGGTTGTCTCTGGTCCCTCTCCCAATCTGACCATCGCACATTTAACTCTCCATTGGGCAAAGGGCAAACGCTGTCACGGCGGCACGCACACACGGAGCGCTGTTGCCGAAGCGTGGCACATTCAATATTAGCACACAGGATATGCAGCAATGACTCACAC